ATGGCCTGTATGGACAAATACGTCTTTAAACGGGGCTGGGAGGGATTGATGAGCTAGGGCAAATGGGAGGGGGGCATTTATCTAAATTCATCAATTCATCAATGACATTTTAACACCACTAATGATAGGGGCCTCTAAAATTAGCTTACGACCTGGGCCTTAAAATCTTAGTTATGGAACTGTTTACACATAAGAATTCATAATTGAACTTTGAATAATATTAAAGATAATATTGTTACAAATAAGAAATTTATTTTAGAAAGAGTGAATTCTAAAAAAAATATCTTGGAGCTTACATTGATAATCAACTCAAATGGAACATTAATATTAACTACATAAATAATGCTATTTGACAATTTTTTTATATTTTTAGTATTCTGAAGAGTATCGTATCACCTAATTTGAGAATCATAACATATATTAGCTTAGCAAAGTCTATTATTACTTATGATTAATCCTTTTGGGGAGGTTCTTATAATATTCATAAAAAAAACCTAAATTCCACTATAAATTCTATATTAATATTTATATTTTTCAAGCCAAGACCATACTCTAGTCATAATAACTACAAAGATCAAAATTTTATAGTTTAAATTCTTAACATTTTAAAAATCTATGCCTATTTATGTTTAATTACAGAGATATTATTGAAACACCTGCACATAATCATAATACAAGACTTAATAATTCTATTGGTAATATTATCTCAAAAACTAAAACTAATTTTTATAGATTTTTATATAATATTTGTGTTTTGTAAAATTTGTACTACTTCAAAAATTAATTTACATTATTTTGAAAATAATTATATACTATTTAAACGATATATTAACACTATAGATTTTGAAAATATCTTCTTAAACTATAATAAACTTCATCATAAAGTACATCAGTTATAAGTTTAGATGAACTACTCATTTAAATGTATAATATTAATTTGTTATTCACATTTTACTATATAATTATTTCTCTGTTAAATATTAAAATATAGCCATAGCTAAACTGAGTAGACCGATACTTTTATTATTTTATCTACTAATTGTAATCATTACTGTTATTGGTGAAATAAATATATTATAATCTCTTATATTTGAAAATTATGCCAGAACACCTATATAATTTATTGAAAGTATTTTTACAGGTAAATAACTATTAAGTTTCACAAATACTGAGAATAACACTAGCAAAGAGTTAAAAATAATGAATAGGTCCATTATTTGTAGGTATATTTACAAAATGTACATTTAAGAAAACTTACCTTAATATTGTTGAAGTAAAATTATTGATAAAGAAACCATATTAAGGAGTTTTATATAGGCAATTTTAATATTTATTCAAGGATTATGAATAAAGTATTAAACATTTTAAAATATAATTGCGAAATAATTTACAAGTGAATTCCATAATAACATCATTTTTATTGTCATATGATAATGAAATTTGTTCAAAATGATGATGTTAATTTTAATTTTAATTGTATTCATAATTGATTAAATATTTACACATTGCTCACAATAAATTCACAAAATATTTTAGCAGCCATGAAAATTAAAAACAATAAAAGTTTCACTTTAAGTACCTGTTTTTCAAAAGAATAAAACATTACTATAGAGTAATTATTCAAATCATAAAATATAAAATACTCTATAAGAAAAGTATTGCTCAAAAAACAAATTCAGAAGAATAGTATTTTAGTTTTTAAATGTTTTTCATATATTTTTTAGCATGATTAAAAACATCTCAATGCTCATCAAAAGTGATATGTGAATAACTGTACCTTAATGTGATTAAGTTTACTGTATACTGTATTAAATTACAAAAAATAAGTTCTTTGTATAAATACCACTATAAAAAAAACATTATTGTGAATGATAATATTAAGTATTATTGAAGTATTATAAATTTAAAACATACCTAAGAAAACAAAAATAAAATAATATAAATAAGAAAATATTCATATATATTAATAATAATAAAATTTGATATTATGGTATTATTTTAACATATATTACAATTTTTATAACATAGGTATAAATAAATATAAATTATATTATATTTAATTTTTAAAAATGTTATGTTCCAAAATATGTGATTTTTCTGACTAATTATCTAAAATAATGATTGAATTAAACTATAATTTCTTATTTTATGTATTTAAGGACCGGTTCTATCACCTATGGATAAGTTATAATTAAAGTTATTTATTTATTTATTCATAATAACAGACTTAAAGTCTAAACAATATACAGCAATTTATATAATGGAAGTTTAATCAAAAATGAAAATATTATATAAAAGGAGATAAATAAACTAAGAGAAAAAATTTTAACAAATTATTACACGGGGAACTTTATAGTATCCTTAAAAGAGTTACCTTGGGTTAATAACAAATTTATGGAGGATATATGTATATATTTAAGTGAAAAATTTGGAATATGAAATAACTTTTGATTTCTAAAATTATGGGTATTTTTATTAAAATTAATTTGGCTCAATAGAAAGGGTCATCAATCTTATTGTTTAGAATTTTAATTAAAAATTTTAAATATGAGACATTTCTTCTTTCTTGAAGAGAATTTAGGTTTAATAAGTTTAAAACATTTTTGTAACCAGAATGAGAGGGCCTTAAAATATTACACTTGAAACAGATAAAACGGAGGACTATATTTTGTACAGATTCTATTTTATTAATGAAACATATATTTTGAGTGTCCCAGATTATTAAGGCATATTCTAAGTGAGATATTACGAGAGAGGTATAAAGACATTTAAGAGTGAAGGGGTCATTAAAATTTGAACAATAACACATTATAAAGCCTAACATAGAGAGGGCTTTATTTTTCGTAGATTTTATATAGTCAGTAAATAAGAGTTTGAAATCAAAAGAGATCCTAAGATTTTTTACTAGGGAACAGCAAAATAGGACATGGTTGCTTAATTTATAGTTAAATGTTAAAATATTGATTGGTTTTTTTTTTTTTTTTGAGAATGAAATAGTTTGACACTTTTTAAATTTAATGACATTTTATTGAAATTACACCATTTATTAAAGTTAAATAAGTTTTTTTGTAAATTTTCAGCATCGGTTAGTGATTTAATATTTTTAAAAATTTTTGTATCATCAACGAGTAGTAATATATTTGAGTATTTAATGGAAAGAACAATATCATTAATAAACAAATTAAATAAGAGTCGAGAGAGGTGGTCGCCCTGAGGAACTCCAGAAGTGACTATTAAAGAATTAGATATGTAGTTTTTTATTTTTACTAGTTGAGTTCTTTGAGATAAAAATGAATTGATCCAGGATAATAGAGGGTCTTAAAACCAATTTTATTGAGTTTGAGGGTAAGTAGATTATGATTTATCCTATTGAAGGCTTTCTCAAAGTCGGTATAAATAACATCAATCTGTTCACTCATTGAAAAAGACTCTAGAATAAATTATTTTATAGCAATTAAATTAGTTAGTGTGGATTTATTATTGCGAAATTCGTGTCGTTGTGTAGTAAGAATATTCTTAAATAAGGAGGTTAGTTTTGAATTTATGATTTTTGAAAAAAATTTGGGAACAATAGAAATTATGGAAATGGGACGATAATTAGATATAGATGATTTGTTGTCTTTTTTAAAAATGGGATTAATATAGATGGTTTTCCATTTTAACGGAAAATAACCATGTTTAAAGATAAAGTAAAAAGTTGATAAATAATAGGAGTAAGATTAAATTTACAATTATATAAAAATAAAGAGGATAATCTAACTGGACCACTAGAGGATTTAGAATTCAAAATGTCTAATTCATGGAAAACATCAATATAATTTATCACACAACTATTTATAGAATTGAAAGATTTAAAAATGGGAAAAGGATATTCTGTACAGGAAAAATTTGTTTTATTATAAGCCGAGGAAAAATAGGTGCTAAATAGATTTACTATGCTTTGACCATTTTCAGCTATTTTACTATTTTAGCTATTTTTAAGTTCTAGCGTGCTTTATGTATAATAAATCTTAACAAATATCTCCATCTATGTAGATATTCATTAACCCGTTAATGAAATTATAGGTAACTTTTTAAATAATTTTTTTGCTGAATAAGTATTTAAACTGAAGCTTATGAATGTTTATCAGATAATTATTATATTCATAAATTAATTTGTCAAATGAATAGTGGCATTACAAATTTTATTATTTAACAAAAAATTATTTATTATTAGTTTATTCAAATTAAGAGCACTACAAATTTTATAATTTTGATTTCATATTGGTGGAGTATATTATTGAATATTTGGGAATATGGGATGATGAAGAGTTATTCATAATATTTATAATATCCATAATATTTAGATTAAAATAACAACTAAAAAAAACTTCACCAAATACAAATTATGAGTTATTTAAAAAATTATTGTACAGTAAGTCCCTGATAAGAACTAGAAATAAGAATATACAATAAGATATTATCAATTTGATCATTTGGTATAAGAACATCTTATACATTATTATAATTATTATAACATTTCATTTTGTTTTAAATTCTGTATTATTATTTTGAATATCGTTAAATATTTAGCTTGGTTAATTGATATTTTTTTTAAGACAAATGGATATTTCAGTTTGCTTTAAATTCTGTATTATTATTTAAATATAGTTAAATATTTAGCATGTTTAATTCATATTTTACTAAAATAAAAGTAGTTCATATTATATAATTCATGTTTAATTTTTTCAATACAATTATATTATTTTCAAAACAGTTTTTAATATTTTAATCTGTTTAATTCATAGAAAATTATAATGTTTCAATGTTTAATATTATCTATATAGTCCATTCATTATTATCTGTACAATTCATATTTCTTCAATATAAAATTAGTTTGTATCATACACATAGTTTATGTTTAATTTTAACATAATATTTTTCACAAGAAATAAAAATAAAATATAAATAAACAAAGTACAAATTATATATTATTATGACATATTTTATCAATTTCAGATATTAGCATAAATATTTTAATATACACTATAATTTTTATACATTGATTCTCACGATTTTATTTTTTATATGATGAAATAGTCTTATTCAGATCATTCATGAATTTATTCACCACTAGCTCCATCACTTTATCCACTGCAATTGATATATCCTTATCTTTATTGGTATTTAAATTACATTTTTCATAAAAATGTGCATTCTTTCCATCTACAAAAAAATTGTATTTCATTTTTTTGAATATATAAGAATTATTGGACTATCTAACATATGAACTATTTCATTGATTACACATATCTATACTAAGGAAAATGTTTATTTATTACTTTTCACTCGTCGTCTTTTTCTCCATGTCCACCGTCCGGAATTTTTGTAAAATAAAATATTGATTTCCACTATAAGAAGGGATTTTAATATCCCACATGATTTTTTTATTCGAACGACGTTATCCTTGTCGACACAAGTATTATTTTCTTCGTACTTCTTTTCTAATTCTGTTGAGTATGACTGTATCTGAAAAAATATTTATTAGTTATAGCTATCCTATTTATAATAATTATAAATAATAAACACACACCGGTTATTTTATTTTTTGGCTTCTCAACTTTAGTCTTTTATTTGATAAGTTTAAATTATCAGGATCAGCTGTCGTGCTTATCATGCCGCGGCTCGTTATTGTCAAGTAGATGCCGTTGATCTATGTTGTACAATAACACTTCAATTAACCTAATAATTATTGAATTACGATTCATTTCCTGTCAACAATTAGTAACAATTACATACGCCCGACGATTTGCCTTTTTTCAATTTCTCGGTTCTCATTTATTTGTATCGTTTCATGTACGTAAGTCTGCTGCAACACCATCGCATCGTTTCGCAGTCTATTAATCGGTAAGTATTTCGGTGTACATAGAAACCAACAATAAATACTTTTAAGGGAACAAAACGTGAATACAGTTGGTTGACACATTCTGTTAGTTTGCTAATTTCCCGTAGATGAGATTTCTTTGTCTGTGTTTAATCATTTTCACGTTTTCTAAATGGGTACTAAATACGTAAACACGTCTCAGTGCTACCTTAATTTTATGCAATGAGCATCAATTTCTGTCATTAAAATATTTCTAATGTTGAACTATCGGGAATGTTTATAAGACGAAATCGTTTCCAGAATGTATTTGATTCAATAGTTTATATTCGGTGTTTTTTTTTCATTATCAGTTGTTAAGAAAAATACAATTATTCAGTAATTCAGATATTAGCTACAATGTGCAATGTACTTGTTTAACAGAGCAATTAATATACAGCTTTTTTTACTTCGGTTTTGGTTGATCAATTATATTACCCAGGGGCGGATTGACCTAAATCGAGAATCTTCTCAATGGGCCGGTCCTTGTTTGGGCTGCTCTATGTTATATATAATTCCTAAAAAAAAGTTTTATTTTGTAAAATAAATAAAAATCATAAAAAAATAAATATGTATTTAAAGATGCATTAAGATCAAACTTCAAGTTCAAGTTGGAACTGATAAATCATGTGATTTACCCAAAACTATTATAGCTATAATTATAGTAAAGTTATTGTAGATTTTACTAATTTAGTGGTGAAACTAAACAAATTTTGAAATTGATGCAACATAAAGCATTTTTTTGGGAGGGGGGAGAGGTAAAATAGTTAAATTTGCAGTTCATGGGCTGGTTTGTTTCAAATTTCCTGGGCCGAAAATAATTGCCAATCCGTCCCTGATATTACCTATGTATATATATACATAGATACATGGGCGTAGCTAAAATTTGAATCAGGGAGGGGCAAAAACATAAAATGATAAGTGTTAAACTCGTAATTCAAATAATCTACTGATAGACCATTGGATAACACATAAAATGTCAAAACGATTATACTTATAGATATCACTCGGTCTCACTAAACTATTTTTAGAATTATATCTTATTTAATTTTTGATTTTAATGTAAAACTTACATGTTTGGTATAAACAAATATAATTGAGTTTGAGGCGCACGGGTGGGCAAGTGCTCCCCTGCCCCACCCTCGCTACATCCATGCATAGATACTATTTGTATAATGTTTGAAGCAATTTTTATCTGTACATGCAGGGCATTTTTAGATTTTTGTTTTGAAGAGAGGGGAGGCTGGTGAATTTCCTCTAAACAAAATTTCACGATTCGATCAATTAAAAATAAAAATTAGAATTTTAATAAACAATTTTAATTTTTGTTGTATAAGCATAGGTAATTCCTTTTTACAATTTAATGAAATGAAATGAAATACATACATATTTAAAATTATTATTTAAAAAATTAATGAAATAAAATAATATATAATAGAAACATAATAATAATGTAATAATTTATATTAAATTTAAATGTAATCATAACGACCTAAGTTGTTGGATACATAATATCCAATATGGAAAATGAATGACATGAATAATTTGAAATTAATAATTTATAAAACAATGATAGTATGAACTTCTAATATTTACATTTTTTAGGAATTATTGACTTAACATTTTTTTCTGAAATTCAAAGGGCTAGGGTATCTCAGCCCCCTCCTGCCAAAAATATGCCCCTAAGTATATGTATTTCCATAGATAACACTATTTTTTTTTTTTTTAATATTTCAGAATACAAAATCCAAAATAATGGTTTGTGTTCCATGTGTACTTGTGCCATTGTTACTCTTTTTATGGGGCATAATCAAACCTATGTTGAATTGGTTCAGGACACCAGTCAAAAATGCTGAAAATCAAAGTAAAACTGATGAAGATCAAATCTGCTCCATGTTATCATCCTGCCCTTGTTATTATAAGAACAAGTCAGTACCTGATGACAAAATAGATGAATCAAAAGATGGTGAAACCTTACAAAAAACACCACTTGAAGTATTGGAAATTGATAAAAAGAATATTTAAATATATACTAAAGACATCATTAATTTTAAGACACCAAATGGTACACAAATATTATATCTCACCATAGCTAGTATTATTAAATTCCTATATTATTAAATCTGTGAATAAAATGTTACTTCAGTAAATAATATTCTTTATATTCAGAGTAATGGTAATTAAAATTTTAAGGACTGTTGTTTGTGTACCACTTTAATATCTTTATTGTGTTAATTTTTTTTTTTCACTTTTTTTATGTACCTTTATTTATAATAGAACATTACTACACAACATTTTATTAAATAATTGGGTTAACTCTGAGTTGGAAAGATAGTTACCAATGGTATTGAATTTGTTATTAAATATAAATGTTAGGTTGTGGTCACAAACGATTAAAACTTAATATTTATTTTTCAAATTTATTCAATCATAATGAATTACTGAATAATATTTTGTAGTATTTAACTGTAGTAAACTTGTTTTTTTTCTTTTTTGAAAATACGCAAGAAAATTACTACAAATAAATTTTCATTTATCATCTTAAGTATAAGTATGTCTTTTCTGGAATTATTTCATATTTAACTATTGATCTATGTACTAATAACATTATTTATTTTGAACTGGAATTCTAAATTAATTTTAATATAACCGAAACTAAAATTAAATTTACTAAATAAGTCGACTCAACATTATAAAAGTATTATTTTTTCGGTATTTAAACAGTGAAAACTACCACATAGTAGCAAACTCAATAAAACATTTGTCTGCAATGTTAAATTAATTTTGTTGTATCTTAAATTTCATTAATAATATTTTACTAAAAAATCTGGAACCTTATGTAAAATAAAATGTAATATTTTTTTAGTTTTGAAATTATATCCAAGAAAGTTTTCATATATGTTCATAATAAGTAAATCTATGTGTATCTTTATTCGGATGTGCCTCGATTATTTGCCGTCATTAGTTCGTGCAAAAGTTGCTCGCGTGTATTATGTTAACCTGGAAATTGTTCTAATACGAAAATTGTTCGTGCATACAAAGTATTATTACTTTCTTTTTTTGGGGTGCATGTATAAATCTCTAAATTGATGGATGTTTGGATGAATTAAGTATAGACGAAAAACAGTTGTGCCATCCTTCAACTGAATTATTAGTTCGTGGAAGGTCTGCTGCTACTAAATCATAATAATTCCATACACTATTGGGGATGATCTTAATATTATATGTTATAGATTACAAAATATATTATATGATAACTAAGTCTTATTTTTTTCTTACGAACAATCTATGCGTGAATAATTTTTCTACGAATAATTCTCACGCGAGCAACTGTTGCACGAACTACTTTCGTCGAATAATGACGTGTGTCCTTTATTGTGATTAATGTTAAAAATGGTTTTTTAATTTATAGAAAAGAAAAAAATAGCTTTTTATTAATGGATGATAATGAAAGCTATTCAATATTTTGAGTTTTTCTATACTGAGAGAATAAAATATTCAAATTTTTTTAATTCAAATATATTTAAAATCTATAGTTCAAAAGTTATCTCGGTATTTTTATAAATTTTTTTCTATCATTGTTAATTTTGTGACTCATTCTGGGTGTGTATGATTTATAATGCGTTAAATGTTAATAAAAATAGAATAATTTATTTCAATTAAATTTTTTTTTTTTGTTACCTTATTGTTCAACTGAAAATTATTTGTGTATACATTTTTACAAATAGTACCCTATTTTGGTATTAACAAAATTCTAATTTAAATTACTGGAACAAATACTTTTGAACATTATAGATTTTTTAAAACAAAAAATTGCAATAAATGTTTTCTGTTATTGTTAATAGTTTCAGAGTTAACTTAAAAATAATCAAATTTATTTTTAAATATAACATGAAAAATTATATTGTCAAAATTTAATACATTCTTGTCGAAAAATATATTTATTGTAATTGTATTATAATTAATTGTTGACATGTGTATTATTTTATAAATAATTATTATTCTAAAAATTGTGTTCTAATGTTGTAACAATAAACATTCCATTGATTAAAAAACATTTTAAATATTACACTTTGTTTAAAATAAATTATTATTATCATAACTATTGTTTTTATAACTGTTATAATATCATAAAAACTAAATTTTGAGTATTTTACTATGTAACCACTCACAAAATATTGTTATTTTTATGAATTTACATAAATTCATTAGTATTAAACCAAAGCTAACCAGTTTTTTTTTAATTTCATGACCAACAGTATAAATTGTTAATCTAAAAAGTAATATTATTCAAACAAATCTTAGTCTATTAAAATAAAATAAAATAAAATACTACTAAATAATAAACTTATTTAATACTAAATAATACATTTGTCTTTATGCAAATTCTTTTATAAATCTACTCATATATATCTGTCATATAATTATTACCTAGAAAATATTGAAAACACATTTTACATGTAACGATATAATATATAGTTATTAATATGTTAATATTTAATTAATTAACTTTAATAGTTGATTAAATTAATGTTTGCTAATGTAATTTTGAGTAGTTTTAATTTGCATATATTAATTTGTGTTCAAACATAATGAAATTGTTTAAAGTTATGATTACATATCACTATCGATTAAGAAAATATAACTGGTTCATTATTATCTACAACAAAACATAGTTTTTCCATATTTTCTACAATGTGAATATAATATAAACAATTAAACACAACTATATACTGCTTATACATACCTACTGTCTATATTATATTTCTGTTGGTATACTTTAAACCTGAGATTGGCAACCTTTTTAACCACATGGACATAATTTTTTTTCAAATTTTCATCGAGGTCCATAATTATAAAAAAATGTATTTAACATATGATATTATATTAATAATTTTATTATTATTATTAAATTAATTTATTTTAAGTGGTAAATATGAGTAGACCAATGTAAAACTGTAAAATATACGATTTTTGTACTTGCAATTTATTGGTTGATTTTTCGATATAGACTTACAAAATTATCGTTGAGACTAGCAATACATTGTACAAATGTTCATCACTAAGACGCGAAGAGTGTTTATTTTTTCTGTACTTCTCAATTGGAAATATCTACTCATATACATGTGAATTCCCAAACGTCACTATAAGTTTTTGTGGAAATTATAGGGTTCTGAGGAATATGGATAAAGGAAGACAACTATAAAATTGAGATAGTATAGTATAGTGTTTGTACCATGAAAATATAAACAATTGTTTTATATTTTATTTATTAAGCAAAAAAAAATAAATAAAACTAAGTTACGAATATTAAAATTCATATGAAAAATATAATTGAAATACACTAAAATTTAACATTTTTTTGTGGGCCGTAAGAAATTGCAGTCACGAATTGACGACTGCTTTAAACGCATTAGGTAGGTACTTGTTTCGCATCCTAGATATTTATCAATTCTGGTGCGTGTAAACCTTTTAGAACAATGTAATTAGTAAAATAGTAAATGTGAATAGTTTAATTTTTAAACTTTTCACGTTTACGGTTTAGTTAAAATATATTACATATAGTACCTATATATGATAATAATGATCTTGGTGTTATTTTTGATTCCAAAATTAATTTTAAACATTTTAAGAATAATATTATTGAAAAACATCAGATAATTTAGGTTTTATTAAACGCACTTGCAAAAACTTTCACGATGCTTACGATGCTCTTAAGTTATTGTATTTTTCATTAGTACGTTCTCCACTGAAATATACGAATATGATATGGAGCACCAATTCTATAACTCATAATCGAGACCTCTCAAATTCAGCATTGGTTATTTAAGAATCTTAAGCTTCTTATATAAAATGTATAGATCTCCTCATTATGATGACGATATTATAAATTAAATTTTTCTATGTTACTCCCAGTTAAACTATTAAGTTTAAAATTTCTTTACAAATTATTAAACAGTTAGTCTGTCCAGAACTGATCGAACAACATAACTTCAAAACAAACTATCTAAACTCTAGACATAAATATAGATAATTCTGTAAACCAAATAAATTGATCAAATATCTATATTATCCTTCCCATCTAATATTTTAATGTATTTAAAAAATTTTGTAAAGAATATAGATTTATCACTTTGATCTTTCTGTGTGTATTCATTAATAATTATTTATATTGTTGGTATTTTTTTTCATTATATATGATATACTTACACATTGTACATACGTAAACCTTGATTTTTATTTTTAAATATTTTCTAATTGTTTTGTATATTTAAATGCAGTTGGAAATTATTCCATAAGAAACGATATTATTATTATGTGTACATGTTTACATGGTAATTTGTTTACACGAATAATTTTGTACTGACTATAAAATGTATTCTGATCTGTAGTTCAAAGTATAACATATATCTTTCAAAACATTTGTAAAACTTAATTTATACATCGTCTGATAATTAAATTCATATCGTCTTCAATGTCTGGACATATTTACCTAAATAAATCTAGATATATTTAAATTGTTAACACTGGGTCGCAACAATATATTAATTTATAAGGCGCATAGTACTTAAATCATAGATAATATAATATATTATATTATATTATATTATCTATGACTTAAGAAGACGTTACACAACCATTTTTGAAGTTTAAAAACATGTTTTGGGAGAAACACTCTCATTTGGGCTACAGTAATCGTACAAAAACCAAACTTTGCCAAGATAAAGATAGTAATATTATCCGTGTTTGTATGTGGGCTTTTTGGGATATCGTTGAAACTCTCGTGTATATACTCTGTTGAAATATTAAGTTTTTTTTATAGTTTTTTGAAGCTCATAAAATACAATTGAATAGACGTACACGTTAAAACCCACATATAAACATAGAAAATATTCTCATCTTAACGTTGTCGAAATTTGATTACTATACGAATAGTGCAGCCCAAATGAAAGTGTTTACCTATGTGTTTCCTGAGACATGTTTTCAAAAAAAAAATTATTCTCATTTGTAACCGTATGGTGCTGCTATAGTGAGTATAGCTGTAGCGCGTTTCGACATCATACACCGCGCGCATAAGCAGCATACCGCACCATAGGTCAAAACTGGTTATTATCGCAAATCGCAACCGCGTATGATCTATAAATAACCAAATAATATACGAAAATAATGCTCATAAATATTTATTTTTTTCCGATTTTATAATTCTAATAATAATAATTAATATTTAACTTTTAATATATAACTTCAGTGCTACACAAATTGAAACCGCGGTATCGTAAAGTTATCGGAAATCAGTTGGATAATGTACGATTCATACAATTTTTTTTTTTAAATTGCTGTACATTTTGAGATGAACTTAGTGGTTTGATTTTCAAGATAAACATTTTTTAATTTAATTCAATATAAATTCATAACAAAAAAATATATACATACCATTAAATCGTGTGTTCTAAATAAAATCAACGTCTATTGATAACTTACTATAGACTGTACAGACTTGCATTTTCCACCAAACAGATACTAATATTAGCACTTTCTTGACAAAATATTATTTTAGAAATATCTTAGTTTTTTTTGTGCTTTTTGGAGAACTTCAAATTTAATTATTTATTATTATTCTAAATTGTATGTATACGTATACTATACAATATGGTCTATTCAATAAACATATATAATTATTTATTATTTTTAATAAAAAAGAAAAGAAAACTAAAATGGTTAAAATAGTTTGTTAATAAATACCTATATTTTATAGTATATTAAAACTATTTATTAATAACTAATATTTTGTATTGTATTAGTACCTACAACAAACAAAGCTTTTACAAAAAAATTGCATTATGAAGTTTTAATAATTGTTATTCCTAACTTATTGTTCCTACATTTAGTATTCACTGTAGATTACTAAAAATGATTTGTAAGTCCTAATATTTATTAACCATTATACCGTCCAAAATATAATTTTACTTCAATACAATTTTTAACGATAGCATACTATGTATACTAGTATACTACATATTTTATTATTTATTAATTAAAAAATATACACATTTTATTAGATGCGCACGTGAATCATATCTTTAAAATTCGTAAATTGAAGGTATAATTGGTATAAAAGTATGAAGTAAAATAGATAGCAGTAGAAAGATAAAATATTATAAATAATTCCATAAAAACAAAAAAAATTATGTGGTAACAGGTACACATACAAGATTATAACGTAAATTATACGTAATAATGCATTTATTAAATACGGAAAAAATAGGGAAAGGGAAAATATACGAAGTTGAAATAGCGAAAAAATCACACAAAAAATTTGGTAGATACCTCACTAATTACAATTTAAAATAAGAATTTATTTTATAAAATATTATATTCTAGACAAAGAAATTAAAAAAAAATCAAAAAAACATATAATTAAAGTTCACTGTAATTTTTTTTAATTTCACAGTGAATTTTAACTTGTTTTTTTTTAATGAAATACTATTTGACTAATTTTCAAAAATAATTATACGAATGATTTCTTTGTATATTTGAGTAAATAAGTATCATAAGTTAGGAGCGTGCGCGTGGATATTATAAAATAATATAATATTTCAGTGTAATTTATATTTAACTTTATATTTGTTACGTTATCGTCAATAACCCTACACTAAGACCGTTCATGTGATAATAAAATGCGCTCCCGCATGGAATATTCGTCGGACTGGTTGTACCGTTCGTGAGCGGCGCGCGAAAACACCTAATAGCGCGTTCTATCGGTCGTTGTTTACGTTTCATTTTTGGTGTGGCGTCCTCTTAAATATAGTAAATTAAAATTGTGTACATAGTTAAATCCATGTATATTCCAATCATGCGTATGAATTCTACATTAATTATGGTAATATTTTTTAAGGTGTAGTGGGGGGAGGATTGTTAAACGCCATGGTCAAATAATCATTGACTGTATAAATACCGATACCGTGGTATTTTTTATCGATGAAATAACGTATGACTAGATTAGACCCGTTGTACAGTAATAATATAATATGTCTAACGTTAATGTTATGATTTATTTTGAACACGCATAAAATTACAATCAAACACAATAGAAAAGTACACCATATTTGATTACAATATAATTATTAATTATGTTTTCGTGCGTATTGAATGCTGTCGATCAGAAACTAATAGTTGACAATCTAAATATAATGAACACAATTATGTTATAAATATCATGTATATAGATACGATTATAAATTAGATAGGTATATTATTTGATATACACCGCGAAAAGAACATAGTATAATATATAGGTAATTAAATAAATAAATATATGGCTTAAAAAATTAAAACTATTAATATAAATATAATGTATGACACTGAACAGTCGATTGATATTGTTAGTGTGATTACGAATGTTGTACTAATTATTACACGTCCTATAATGTTCAGACTGTGAATTTATTTTCTCTAAATTATCCGACATCCTTGCGTTTAATTCGTCCGTAGCTTTGCTGAGTTTCGAGAGTAACATCTCCTGTTCCGCGAAGACAATCTCGGCGTCTATATAAAAAAAAAACACAATTATTACGTACAATAGGGAGTTTATAAAAAAAAAAATAATATTAATCGAATAATAATTTTAATTCAAGAAAAAATCTTGAACATTTAATATAGTTGAATTCACTGACTAACTCGTGCAATTGTATGCAAAAAAAAAAAAAAAAAAAAAATTGAAAAATATAGAAAACATTTTTTATCATCTATATATCTGTTGAAATCATTGCCTATTTGCTTTCATGTCTTACTATGTTCATATATATATATACAGTGGTGTATTGACAATGGCGTGGCGAACTCAACAATATTCAGAGGCAAGTACATTTTGTCGACACCCACCCACAAGACCGTATCTGGGGGGGGGGGATCAAGGGTGTCTGAACCCCCCCCCCCCCCACCGAAATTTTTTCAATATTTTACGAATGTTTAAAATACTTATTTATTTTTAATACCAACATAAATATTTTCAGTTAAAAATAACTTGAGCTCCAATTAATCATTGACTGCTTTAAATTTTATATCAAAATATCATATGAAAATATGATATTAATTTTAATAAAAGAAAATTAAATCTTTTTCTGTTTTATTTTTAACCAAATATCAAAAGTTAAAATCTTAATTCAATAAAATTACTATATACATGTGTACGGCGTATCAAGCGTATATCTTGTAATTTAACAAGTATAAATAGTAAAACTTTTGGTTATATTTATGACGTGATTCAATATCAAATATATTATTTTTTTTCTTTTTTTTTTTTTTTATGAAAAATTCAAATTTGTTTTCATTTAACAAATTTTTATTAGAAAAGTGGGATTCCAAAGACTATGTGAAGTCGTGGTTGATAAATCATAGATCAGCAGAAGACACTAGAAGTAAATTATATCACCCAGCTGTAGATCCGACTAGTGAAAATAAAACAAGTGTTTGGAGAATACTGACATAAAAAAAAAGTAATAATGATCTATTTATTTTTGATTAAATTTTTTTTGTTTAAATTTTTTGTACGTCATATTATACATTTATACCATAAACACGTGCTTTCTAACTTTAAAAATAGAGATATGAAGAGTGGTTAAATTAAAAACCAATACTCACTTAATAAAATAATTAGTCAATTTGTTTAGCATGTAGAAGTGTTATAGAATAAATACAAAAGTATAGTATTCTATCAGGTTTTAATTGAATATAAGTAAAGTGAATATTATTCGATCAAAGCGAGAAAAAAAATTTTTGGTTTCTACCATATGATAGTTACTACATGAAATAAGACGTACACCTATGATTTATTTTAGCAATACATCACTGTATATATATATATATATATATATATACTTATGTAATTTAATACAAAGTTCCAATGTTCTTGCCGATTAACAAAAATATGAAAGCAGTATGATGATAATTGTAACACAAAAAATTTACAATTATAATTATGAATTATTAAATACATCCAACTCGTTAACCACTTACTACCTGATTATTAATAACCGGCTTACCTTCGAGCTCTTTCAGTTTCAAAGTGGTGTTGGCCAAAAGTTGACTAGCCTTTTCGGACAGATTCTGCGAGTTACTACGGGTGGTTTTCAAGACTTTCACGCGGTTTTCTAACGTAGTGTTCGCGTTATTATAGTCGTCCACAAGCTTCAACGCTTTGTTCTTAGTATCATCCACCTCCTGAACCAACGTTTTTGCTTCTGACTTGACCTCGTCTGCGTCTCTGACATTTTTCAAGAATCCGGTCTGTAGCGTTTTCAACTTGGCTTCAATCGAATCAATGAGTTCCGTGACTTTTTGAAGACTGTCTTTGGCAAGATCCGTTTCCGATTTAACCTAAATGACACAATATTATAATGTTATACATTATATTTAATGATATAATTCAAAGACCAATGTAAAATGGCATGCTTTATTACTTATTACATGATTTATATTTTATTTGCTGCAAGTTTCGTGGAAACTTTGAAATAATAATTCAATTTGTAGGTCAGGTAATTTTTTTATATATATATATATATTTTTTCAGATATTTAACGGGGTGTTAAATCCCTAACACATCCACACCTTATGTTCACGCTTGATATAATGCATTCAAGCTATAAGTGTTAGATTACCGTGGTAATTCAACTGCATTTATTATACGCATACCTTGGTCAAACTGTTATTTGCATCCACAATGTTCTGACTGGTTACAAATATACCGTCGTTGACGGTCTTTTGTATGTCTTGCGTTTCCGATAGAGCCTTTTCAACGCGTTCCGCGACTTGGAGAATGTTTTTCGCGGCCATTCTGTATAGAGGAAATAAATTGACATTACATTTACGGATATCATACGGAAAAAATTGGTAAAAATTGGAGGTCTCTATTTCACGTGTAGTTAAATTCACGTATGCAATAACGTGAATTTGTGAATTTATCTTCACGTTAGTCCGTAAATTAAATCACGCGTTTATTATTATTTTTTTTAAATTTTTAAATTTTTATTATTGAAATTTTATTATTATCGATACGTATACATTTCAATGTCACTGTCGTGTGCGTTCCGTCGTTTTACGATAATACTGTTTATAAAACCTTTTTATTTTAGAATATTAGGTATAAATATATTTAGTTTTTAGTTTTTGGTTTTTGTTTTAAGCATACGTGAAGTAAATATCCGTGATTTACAAATTAATTACACGTGAATTAAATTCACGGATTTTAACACGTGATCACATGAATCTTAATTCACGTTTAAATTTGAGAGCTCTATCAACTATGTTTACTGTTTCTTTTCCGCTTCCTCGTTCAACGTTTTGGCCAACGTCAAGTTTTGAGTGGTGTCTTCGATGATGGTGTTAATATTCATCGGCTGAGATAGCGTTTTGTTTATGTCCTCGGAGAGTTGACGCAACTGATCCGGTTGCAAGTCTATGTTCAATTTCAAAACCTGAATACATACAAATTATTATTACCTATTATTTATTATTGTATACATGCGGTGATCAAGTCTCTGTAGGAACAATATTATTATTATTACCTCGTCGATTTTCATTGCGACATCGACAGACTGAACGCCCGTAGGATTCAAAAACGTTTGGTGCCTTTCGATCAAGGAATAACTTTCATTCAGTATATTCAGCGAATGTATTCTAGCCGTTTTCGCCATCTCTCCGGTGGCTTTAGCGTTGGCCAGCGACGAATTCAGTTCTTGGTTGGCTTGAGATATCTTCAACGAAAAAACAACAGTAAAGTACAATATATACACATATTATAACAATGGTTTTAATAATTTAAACAAAACAAAACATTTTGACTACACTTACGCCTCTGTACAGCTCTTCGGATTTTGCTTCTTTGTCACGTATATGTTTTTCTGCTTCCTTAGCAAAACTGTATGCACGTTCTGCCTTCGTTATTGCTCCTGCCTCACACGACAGACCACCACAAAAACCGCAACCAGCGCCACCGCAAAGCTTATCACAAGTTTCACCGCCTTTATCACAAATCTGTAAAAAACAAATTACAAGGTAGTTAATCTCGAAAGCCAAGACTTTTGTGTCTCGGTTTTTTTCGCTGGGTAGAGAAGCTAGGTTTAACCACAGATCACTGAGCTGCTTTTTTTTTCATATAATTTATTTAAAGGTATAGTTCGATATGGTAGTCATGAATATACTGCATAAGTAATGTTATATAATACATAATAAGTCGGGATAATAATTAATAAATATTTTTATTTTAAAAGTTGATAATAGATAGTAGCTTAGTAACTAGAAATGTATGTTATTCTTGTTCAGGTATACCTACAATTATTAATGAATTGTTTCGGCTGGTTCAATGATAAAATGCAAAGAAATTATACAATATATTTTACTCAAAATTAAGATACTAAAAGGTATATTCACTTCATGTTAATTTTTTCCTATTTTACGGAGTAGACGGAATCATTCTAACTCAATAATCTTACTCGAAAAACGCTTGTCAAATTAATTTTTATCGTGATACAACTCAACGACTATAAAAAAATATTAGTGATAATATTCATTAACACTAGTTGTAACATTTACTGATATTCAGATTATAATTCATAATTATCTTATAAAGAAGTAGAGACAACATTTTATAGTTTATTGTATAGTTATGATAAAATATATAATGTTGTATAATTATGATGTAAAATAACTCGTATTTTGAAAAATGAAGAGTAACACAAAAAGCGAATTTTGGGATATCACTTTTACCAACGAAAAAAACACAATGACAGAGGTTAAACCTATTATAGTGCTCTATTTTATTTAAACGTACTTGTTGATTTAATTTTGGAATTTCTTGATTTAAGTTGTTCATCTCTTCATTCAGTCTTATTAACGTATTTTCGTTGTCTTTAATACCTTGGTTGAACGAATTGACATTCCGACCAAAGAATGTCTCAGTTCTTTTACACTGACGTTCAACATCACCAAGAAGTGTGTCTTGAACTGTCTCTTTCATTTTTAACGTTTTAGCTTTCTCATATGCTTCTTTTGTTAAGTTCAAAGCTCCTAAAAACACCAAATATTTACATGGATTACTTTAATACTTTAAGAAACTAATTTTAAAATGTTTAGTAAATAAAAATTTCTAAACTAAAACAAGCTCAAAGGATAGATACAATTTATAAGTGAATATTATTTTAAAAAACATCAATTTAATTAATATATTTATCTCATGACTACATAAATCAGTAACTCATAAGATTGTTTAATTACCTTCAACATTACGTTCTTGAAGTTTTGTTGAATTTTGTCTCAAATTCAGTGCATTTTCTTTTAAGTTGGCGGTTTTTTCTTTGAGATTGCTTAATGTCAAGTTTGCCAAGATGACTTTTTGCATCGTATTATCAATTGTCTTCGTAATTGAGTTCAATTGATCCATGGTAGTCAGATTCACCCTACACAAACATATAAACGACGTTAATAATTACAAAATTAACCATCATTATATCACGTCTTTCTATAACGTATTATAAATACCTGAGTTGATCGATAACTTCATTCAATGTCTGGAATACCTGTGAGCTTTTTGTGGTCGTTTGCAGTATGTTTTTCACTTCGGATATTTTCTTTTCCATATTTTCGAACTCCACGGTGTACGCACCCGAGGCTCCGGTAGCCTTGATTTCCGATGCCGAGTTGATTATTTTCTCGGTTTGCTCTGTATACAATTGCACGAAAACCCGTAATGCAGGATACACAGCAAAATGAACTACTGTAAATAGTCATATATCTTACCGCTTAGCTCTTTCTGCGTTTGATCCCAATTATCGAAACACTCTCCGCACGGGCTGCAGTTAGGAGCTTCGCCCAAATATCCTCTTGCACAAGTGTCACACTTTTCTCCGCCTATTCCCAACATGCATTTACAGTGTCCAGTCGTCTGGTTACATTGTTGTGTGGCCGAACCTTCGAGGTTGCAATCACAGGCTGAAACGAGTGCACAAACTCTATGTTAGCATATAACATAGTACACGATATTATGATATTTTATACATATTACACAAATCCCCGTAAAAGAATAGGTTTTTGAAAACATTAAAGATATTAAATATAACAACAACAATAAAATGTACCATAACATTCTTTATTTGGATCACCCCAGTAGTTCGTTTGACATTGATTGCATTGAGTTCCGCCAAAACCGGGTTTGCACTTGCACTGACCATCAAACTGTAAACAATAATAAAAAAAAATATTTTAAGAGTTTTTGTTGTTGTCACTTAATACGTGGCAAAGGCTTAAACCATGTACCTGATTGCATTGTTCTGAAAGTGATCCTACTGGATCACAGTTACACGCTTCACACCCGTTTCCGCTAGCAATTTTCCAGTGATTGGGCATGCACTCGTCGCAAGACAATCCAATGACGTTTGGTAAGCAAGGACATTGTCCGGTAGTGTGATTACACACTAGCGATTGTGATCCCAACAAGTCGCAAACGCATTCTGTGTACAAACAAGATTATTAATATTGATAACGATTTCAAATTCCTCATACGATTAGTTCAATCAGTGCGATTGAATAAAAATTCAAATTCAAAATTATTTGCTCTAAAATCTTTTGAAACATTTACAATAAAATGTATACCATTGATTTATCGAAATATGCCCTTAGAAATTAAAATAAGACTTAAATTTTATTTAAAGCTTTTTTTAAATAATTTCATACTTATCATTCTGTGGACGAAACTATTGATTATATTATAGACTCAAAGTCTTCTAAATTGAAGGTATTGAGACAATATTATTTTTTCTTTTGTTAGGTACCTACCTACTATACTTTTTTAGGTTGATGATTGACTGTAAAATAACGTACAAATTTAACTTTAAACTAAAATTTGAATAAAATATTAACAATGTGCATTAAAACCCATTTACACATGCAATTAAAATCGAAAAAAAACTAATATAATGAACGTCAAAAATGACATAAAATACAAAAATATATAACATAAATTCGTCTCGATTTTAGTTTCGTGAATTAAATCTCTACTTTATCCATCTATATATTTATCTGAAAATGTACAGATTTATAAGAATCAGGGCATTGTTGATGATACAATAAATATATAATATATAATATATAATATATGAATGAAGATATGATGAGATGAATGAATATATAATACATTATGATGCAGTAAATTCGTGTAAACTACTGTGACAAATTGATAAATTTTACCTGTACACGTTTGATGGACCGCGTCTCCGTAGTAACCAGTCTTACAAAACTCGCAGGTGTCGCCTTCGGTATTGAACAAGCACTGTAGACATTTGCCACTGTGAGGGTCGCAGTTGCCCGTCTTGGTTATGTCCACATTGTTATTACACGAGCACGGTTTACACGAGCCTCCAGGGACCTCAGGGTTTCCGTAGTAGTTTTCGTCACACATATTACATCTCGAACCTTTTTTTTTTTTTAAAAAAAACACAAGCGCCGATCACACGTTAGATAACGTCGATAGGTAAATACACGTACTCTAATGAGCGGTTTAAAAAATATTTACCTTTGTATCCTTCTTGACATTCGCAGAACACATCTTGCGTTTTTGGATCCAAAGCACATCGTGGTGCGAAAGAATGTCCAGATTCAGCGGTTCCTGGACACGGACATGGGCGACAAGGAATATCTGCCCCCAAGTGTGGGTCACCATAATAACCCTCGATGCATCTTAAAAAAATAATGTTAACCAATGATTACTGATCAATAACAATCGCCTCCTGTGTAACTAGAAATCTTTCATAACGCACTACACACCTGTCACAATTGACTCCCTCCGTAAAACCTTGACAGTTCAAGCACACTCCGGTGTGTGATTCGCACGTGTCCGTATGTCCATTGCAGATGCATCTTTGGCAATCCGGATAGTTCCACGAGCCTGGCTCGCACTGATCGCACTCTCTTCCGTAAGTCTGAGACCGACACTTGCACTGTCCAGTAGTTACGTCGCACAAGTTGTCTAAAGCTCCCACACTATTACAGTCACACGCTAATCAAACACACAAAAAAACATCGATTTGAATACCAATCTAATGACCATTATACAAAGAAAATATATTATAAAAGTTGTGTTTGTATCAGTTTTTCCTTAAATTGAACTTAATGCCAATAATTTAAATTCTATACTTTTAATTACTATACACTTCCGAATATGATATATAGGTACAATTGGTTTATCGGAGAAAAAAAACAAAACTGTCTTATACCTTTGCATCCTTCCGGACCAAATCCATAAGTACCAGGAGCACAACGGTTGCAGTTCCTTCCAACCACATTTGGTTTACAAGAACATTTTCCTCCCAACGAATCACAAATGGCGCTAGTCGATCCCGTCCGGTCACATTGGCACGCTAAATATAATCAATGGAAATGATGTTAATCGGTAATTTTTCTTCAACTAGAATGTTTTCACTTACAAAATGCTCCGTCCAAAAAGTAAAACCCAACACTGTAATGATATTTTTGACAGATTTCATAATTCGGCATGTTTTTTATATTTTGGTTAATAACGGTGTAATACGCTTCCTTGCACTTGTAGCGTTTATATTCTTCGAGTCTTTGCTCATTAGCTGGTGACCCTTGGAAGAATGGCATACTTTCCACGTGTGGTATTAAAACAACCTAAAAATAAAAGAAAACGTAATTGATCCGATCGCGTATTTCAATTCCACAATAATCCAATTATGTTTGATTTAAACAATAAAATAAACATCATAATTATAAATTTAAAAATCATAACGTCAAATAAGCATTTTGGATAATTCCAAGGTTATAATTACCAATATAATGAATAAAATAGAAAGAGCAATGATTTTTAAATATACACTCACATTTTTACACTTGAGGTTGTTCAAGAATTGAATTTAACAAATATAAATATACATATTTGTGTGTATGGTTATAACTTATAAGTAATTAAATTGTTTACGATATTTGTACAGTGAATAAAAAAAAATTATTATGTCACTGCGATGTTTTCTGAACAGATAATTCGTAATATAATAATTATGTGTGAATAACTTTTGTTCAAGAACACTTACCGAATCGACCAGTATCGACGCAGATGGAGTAATTGTTCTATTCTTGTATCTTTGGAAATTCAACTTCACCTTATAGTCTTTGTTTGCCTCCAAACACACCGGTGGCGAAGCAATGGCGACGTTGGAGCCTAAACATATATATTTAATGAGATGTATTAAAATTTGTTTTCGATTGCAATAATTCAAAAATGTTTCGACAAATAATTTTACCGGGTGACATCGAAATGCTCCTTATGTCTCCAGCATTGTAATTGCGTTCGTATTCAGCACAAGTGCTATTGGGATCGATTGGTTCCAATCTGTCCAACGTGACCATGACATTTTCGGTGTCGTAAGGGGGGCTATTGATTGCAACATTTTAAACAATAATATTATAAAATAACTGCTACAATTTTCATGAAAATTATATTAATATAATATACGAGTGTGTTTATAATTGTATGTATAACCCGTTGAAGTGTGAATAAAAAAATGTTACAATCAATAAATAGTTCTAAAGTATTTTTCTAAAAGAGTAACGAAGCAAAAATAACAAAAAATCAGCCACAACGGGAACAACATAAACATCATTAAGGTTGAGTAGGTACAACAAAGAAAATACACATACAAAAATTTACATAAACGTCAAAAAAAAAGAAAAAGTGGCCAATTAATTGCAAAATAATATATAATGATTAGTTTACGAAGAATGAGTAGAAAGAAAATAACCCTGAATAGTAAGCTTAGGTTGATTAACGTATCTAATCGAAACAATATTAACAATAATTACAGCTCAAACAATACATGTCCTAAAATATTAAAAATAAAGAATAAGTAAATTAAATAAGGTTTTTCAAAAATATTATTGATTTGAAAAAATATATTATAGCATCTAATTAAATAGTTACAATTTTTTGTCGATAATTTAATTTTAATAAATAGTTTATCATTTATTAACAAAATAAATAAGAAGAAAATTATAAATGCCTTTATGCATTTTCCAATGTACAAGACCACCAACCAATATGTTCAAAAAATATGTCATAAAAATGTCATACTTCGAATATAATAACGATTAGATTCATATTTGAATTTACTAAATTTGATTTTTGAGTGAAATTCAACAATTTGTAAAAGTAATAAACTTGCCACTTAGATTTAGAATTACTCTTAATTCGAAAACAGCATACCACGTATACTTCTAGTGGTGTGGAATTCCAAATAATTGTTGTGGATATAATTTTATGTTTTCAAAACAACCTATGAAACTTATTATGCAATTGAAAAAATGTTTGTTTACGACCTAACATATATGAACGTTTTACTATTTTTCACTCACTTGTGGTTCATATCTAAGAACAATCTCGTAATTGGTCGTAGCCGGTATTTTGCCTAAATCGAAAACCAATTCGGTGTCGTCGAAAACTTTCATAAATCCTGTCCCGGTCCACGTATTTTCCCGGCCGTCTCTGTAGGGTTCTCGAATGAATACTTGACAGTTCTAAAAAGTTCCAACAACATATTTTGTATTCGTCATGACATTAAAAATCCTGTTAGCATCAAATACTTACGTCTTTGCATTGAGACACCTCTGCTTCACTGATCAAAATGTCCACAGGCCCGACATAGTAGTTTTGTTCCGGTACACTACACGTACGTCCGGATAAATTGGGTCGACAACTTAATGAGAAAAATGAATTCAACACTTAGCGATTAAAAGCAACCGATTAAAAAACAATTAAAATTCTTAGCATTTGAAATAACGAAAGTTGAATAAAGAATATATAAGATTGTTACAAACAACATCAAAAGAAGATTATTCAATTTGTTATATAGTTTAATGATTTTATTCGATCTAATTATGGATAAAGCTTGTAAGTGGTTTCTATTAACTGAGCGAGATGAACACAAGCTTAGAGACTGAAGAACTATTTTTTTTTATTGATCAAATTCCTTAAAAGGTAAATCATTTATTAAGAATTCAGGCTAAGCTTTTATTTATTTATTTATTTATTTATTTATTATTAAAATTAATTTTAATGAATTGAATGGTAATTATTGTATTAATTATTCATTTAGTTATTATAATACAATTGTAATTGTATAAAAACGACCCAAATATACTATTATAGGTACTCTACTATATGGGCATTTGCTAGTATCATATGACACCACGGTCAATTTTCATTTTACAAGGTCTACTGATTTTTTTTCGAAAACTAACAGAAATGTATAATGTGCACTAAAACTATTGATTAGATCAATATGTTGACGCTTACCTGCACTGTCCTGTGTTAACGTCGCACATGTTATCATATGCTCCACCAACATCGCAATCGCACGGTTTACAGCCATCTTGACTGTCCGTCAAACCCCAATAACCTGGAATACACTGGTTGCAGTCCCTTCCGGTCACGTACCTTTTGCATGTACATTCTCCGGTCTCCTTGTTACAGCCCTGATTGTCTACTGTCCCTTGAGTATTGCAAGTACACTCTGCGAAAAATAACGCAAACTATATATTACGTAGAACACGATAACACGGACAAGTGGGAGAAATATATAAATAAATATACGTATATATTAATAAATATTGTAATAGCTTTACAATACTTTACGCGTTTACACACGTGTGGTACATTTATCATTGTGGGGAAAACGTGCTCATATATGCGTACTTTGACACCCATCTGGGTTTGATTCGCTGAAATTCCAAAATCCATTTTTGCATCCATCGCACCGTCTCCCTTCGACATTGGTCTTGCAGTGACACCGGCCAGACTCTAACCCGTTGACCAGATCAGTTTTTGAGTCACATATCCCGTCGTCCAGTGAACCGACTGGATCACAGTCGCACGCTGAAATTCATATAAGGTAATTTTAAACTTCAGAATACTACTTGGTATAGAAAAACATGTGCTTAATAACGTGGTTTAGCTAATAGTTAAACAAATACATTTACACGTTATACGGTTTATTGAAATAAATTATACCAACTAGGTATACTCGTGCTATAATCGTCTAAAATTTGATTTGAATTTAAATTCGTTTAAAAAAAAAAAAAAAAAAAAATCAAAGTTTTAAGATATCTCATGAAAGTTGTAAGTTTGCGTGTAATGTGATGATTAAAACACGTAAGTCACCGTACATAATTATACCCGGGTACACGCGGACTATTTGACGAGTCAAGTGCACGTATACCAAAACCATGGTAATACAATTGTTAGGATCGACTTACGTAAACAGACGTCACGATCGGTAAACGGTTTCGTCGGATCTTGGTAAAAGTATTGTTTGCATTGTTCGCAATTCCGTCCCATTGTATTATCGGTACATCCATCACACACCCCGCCGCTCGTCCGTCCGGTCAATTCGAACACGGCAGCGTCATGATGACAGCTCGTGGCGTGGTTGTTGCAATTGCAACCTTTTGTACGTCAACAAAAGAAAAAAAAAAATGTCAATGTCACACGCGCTACTGGTGAGTCCGCCACTACCGTTAACTAGCCGTATGAAAGCTACTTACGTCTACACGCGTTCGTTTGTCGGCCGATTGCCGGTTTCCACGGGAAGTCGTTGAAGAAGTCCTCACAAGCCTCGCAGTTCAGGCCCTTCGTGTTGTGTGTGCACTCGCACTGACCGTATACCATGTCCGGTTTGCTGATGATACCGTCTTGCGGTAAGCACCTGGACGCGTGACCGTAACAAGAACAAGACCCTCGCACTACCATCTCACTGATTGCGTAGTAATATTTTTCCTGCGCAGAAAAACGAAAATGTTTTATTCACCGCGGTTATAGTAATACATCGCCGTTGCGCATAATACATTATAACTAATATCGTCTTACCAAAATCTCGTCTCGGCTGTCCAACAAATCGTCTCCAAGCGTGTGAAGTTTAGTAAAGTTAATTCTCAAGTTGGTCATCTTCAATAAATTTTGTACTTCTGACGAGTACGGGTCGTCGTACATATGATGTAGATTAGGAGGTAAGACTCTCAAAATTACCTAAAAAAGTAAAAACATCGTGTACATAGATTTAGTAGAAAAATAATAAGTTATTCATTATAATCTGATAGAAAATATAATTTTATCAAAAGTCAAACATCTGAAACAGACACTAGAAACGTTTGAATTTATCGTTACCAGTTCCGGTACCGGTTCTCAGAAAATAAAATAACTTTTCTGGTTATTTGTTAGAAAAAAAATAAAGTTACCGGTTCTTGTTATCAGTAAAATATAATATTTTTTCTTATCTTGTGACTACATAATAATATACCATTTTCCACACATAAAATTGAAAATTACAGCCACCAAAATATTATTTTCAACTGACGGAACGTTTCACTAACGTTTGCCATCATAATACATCAGCGAGCAATGTGTCTATTTTATTGTTATCATCACTGTATTTTGAAGATAATACAATGTCGATACCAACTAAGGTAATATTCAGTGGAAAAGATATTTCCAAATAATACTATTTTGTGATATACGTACATGCAATAAACACCTCAAAAGTATAATAAGTATAAATAGGCACCTATCCAAAATGCAAATTTCCATAGTTCTAGATATAATTATTATGAGAATGCCCCCCTGATTATTTAGAAATAAATTAAAAACAACTAATAAGTTATGCTATAATTAAAACCATTTTATTTTGGAAATTAAAAGAATATTAATAATTTAAAAATTTCTGTTCGATTCTGTACTTAATTTATTATTAAGATTTCGGTTCCTACTTTTCAAGAAGTTCCGGTTCCAGAACCGGTATTTTTCGGTTCAATTTCTGTGCTTTAACGGAATGGACTTGTTAACTAATAAAATTTATTATATTTATTATAATTGTATTTAATATATATTGGTTTAAAAATGAATATTTGCCTAATTTTTAAAAACCTATCGAATAAAAACGATTTACTTATAATTAACGATTTATTGTTGTTATGCACTCTGTTTCATAATAAAACTTTTATCTAGGTGTTAAAATGTAAAGACATTTAAACGCTGTACTTACTTCACCGTTTGTAGAAGGCGGGACAGATGAATATCTCTGGTCACAGACCACTTGAGTCAAATTACGTGGTGGTTCTTTGGGTATAGACGGGAAAATAGAATCACAATCGTGCGCAAAGTACCTGTAAACCTATAATAAAAAAAAAACGAAATAATGTTTTTTTCTGCGTACAAGCGATATGTACGTGCACAACGTGCGATAATATCATTGATTGTTCAATTTCTACAATGTTTATCGTGATGAAATCAACGACATTAATTTACTTACTTGCCACGAGTTACCGAAATCATAAGACCTCTCGACCAACATGACAGCTGGTCGGAAGGTTTTAAATGTAATGATTAAATGAGTGAAATGGAATTCGGCTTCGAGGTTCAACTGAATAGTGACGTTCTCCACGCCGTTTTCTGATTGCCACCATTGTGTAGACTGGCCGCTAAATAAAATAATGTTGGTAAAAACGAATAACAAATTGGATATACATTGTAAATGCGCGAAAATATTACCCGTTGTATGCAGGGTGGACAATGTTCTCGATTCTATGACTGAGCGAGTACTTAGCGTTCGGCTGCGATGGTTGTCTCGAATCACACCAAAAACATTTTTTTCGATCTTCCAGATTATTTACAATACAGTATCTTTCCTATACATAGTAATACGAATTATATACAATTGATACATTGATACATTGAGACCGCCATGCATCACAACTGTCACTGAAATAGACATGAGTAACCTCTTATAATGGCCATTTTTTTTTAAAAATTTACCTTTTGATAATACCCAGTACATTTAATAGGTAAATGATTGACATTTGACGTAATATATTGAGCTAATTCTTACATTATCTGTTATATTTACACATCGCATATTAATTTCAATAGCGACTGTGTGCCAAAAAATCAGATGACCGGAAAAAAATATTCAGATTTTCTAAACATGTATTCGAATATAAAAATAAAAAGTTTATAAAAATGTTTGTGCTTTAGGTAATAAATGCTTAATAATAATAATAATACGAGGCTGTTAAAATATCACTAAAAGAACTAAAACAATATTTATTTGAAAAACTGTAGTTATGTATTATTTCAGTATCAGATGCAACACACGTTTTAAATTCGTAGAGTAAAAATAATAAAACTGTCACAAACCCTTTGCTTTAACCCACAAGTCGAGGATGCTACGAGATGATTTTCTCGGCCAATTAATAAATTTCCAGTAGCTGGATAACATGAACTTTTGTCACATGATGAATGGTACGCCCGGACATTCGCTAAAAACAGAAATTCCACAGGTAAAATCTAATAAATAAAAATGGTTAGATATGTATAAAATACACCTACAATACTCGTATATATTTATAATTTTATTTATATTATGATTTAATCGTGATTACTGGAAGCTCTTAACATATGTATGGTTTTGACGATTTATCTCGATTACTTAAAATATCAAAAAATTTAATTACATTTTAGAATCATTTGAGATTTTAGTCATCTTGATATTATTGAAAAAATTTAACATAAAATTAACGGCGTTTTCTGCAACGATGATATACTTATTTTTGTTTATAACAAAATCTATTAAAAATTAGATAGTTGTATCAGTGGCGTATACAGAAAATATTTTCGGGAGTGGCTACTATGGACAGAGTTAAATTACAACTGCTATTTAAGAATTACTAACAAGACACAGTAGTTAGTTACAGGTATCTACATTTCATTTATAAAATGTCCCAAAACGATTTGACGTTGGACGCAAATTCTAAATAAGCATAAAGCATCATACAAATATAACATACATTTAAAATATATTTTAAGTTTTTTAAAACATTTAGGGGGGACTGTAGCCCACTGCTCCCCTATATACGTCACTGAATTGTATTACATTTTATAATCCATTAAATCGTACACATCATAATGTTGCAATGAAAATGTAAAAATGTTATTCTAAAATTATCGGAAACACAAAAGGACCATGATATATTTTTCTACGCATTTCCAAATCATTATATTTTTATTTTTGCTTTCTTTTCGACAAATAAAATAAATAAACTTCATAATCTTTCCATTCTTTTTTTTTTTTTTTAATATACTCGAACGACATGACATTAACGACGAATTATGATACGATTGCAGTTTATAAGCACCAATATGTACACTTTGTTGTCGTGCGTACTTATAGTACTCTAATTTAATATATAATTAAAGTGTATATTTATTAACTATATCAAATTAAAATTAGACTTTCTCACGACTGCGATGATAGGTTACTATCTTCAACATTTTTGTTCAGGCATTATTTTTGTCTGCCACATTTTTGTCGCAAAATCATGCACTTAAATTGATAATTAATTAAAACCTAATGTCCAGAACATTTTTTTCTATAATATATTATTTAGAATCCAATCGATATTATTAGGTAAGCTGTCAAGTAACTGCCGAAAATTTCTTCTTTATCGATTCAAAGTTCTAAGTGCCTAAGTATTATTAAAAGCTAAAATTGGGTATGAATAATCGTTTTCTTTAAATCACATTTACTTTAGTATTAATCAGTATTTAGTAATTAATACAAAACAGTTAAATTATACATCACTCAATCGTTAACAAATAAAATACTCCCCATTAAATAAATTAAGATTTAAGAATTAATTATAAACCCATTTTTCTATTTATTATTTAGTAAAAATATGCTTTTTAATTAATTAATTTTAATTTATTACTAAATTATACAAATTATATTATTATAGTTTAAATATTTAAATGGTTCTCTATATTCAACAAATAAAAAATCTATTGAATTTTCAAATACAGTTACTCTTTAAATATTACCAAATAAATACCAAATACTTTGCTAGAACTTCATAATGGAAATACAACACTGACTTTCATTTAACTGCAGAATTAAGTGTAATAACTTGACATATACAGGAATTCCATTGTAAATGATTTCAACTTTTAATAAAAATAGTATAATAAAATACAGTCTTTAATCTATATTTATAGACAGTTTGGATAGTCAGTTGTGTAGGGGTGTTTATCATCGACTATTAAGTAAATTATATACAGAACTAAAGTAAGAGGACACAAAAGGTATTATTCTCCCTACCTCTCATACGTAGGTGTAACTAGGGGGAACTTGGTGGGATAAGCCCCCCTGTCATAGTTCTTATTTTTACTATCGGTAGCTACATTTCTAATTTTAATTTAAAATATCGTTTTATTATTTTTTTTTTTTTTTTTGATTATACGTACTCGTATCATTGTAATACGATTATATTGATAATATATAATATATTATATAATAATACGATTATTATTACATTGTATGTAAGGTTTTACTACATAAATATTACTTAAAAATTATTAATAAATTAAACACAAAAATAGTGATAAAAGATGTATGATTATTAATAACTTGTGATAACGATTAACGAGTAACGGAATATAATGAAACTGACTTAAAATCAGAAATTTTGGTTGCAAAAAATTGTTATGACAATCAATTGGAAAACATTAACAATCAGGAACATTTAAAGCAACTAAAGAGTATCGTTGAAAAATCTGTTTTCCAAAATTTACACAAAATGCTAAAATTAGTGCTTGCAGTTCCAACAAGCATCTTGTGAAAGAACATTTTAAGCAATGCATCGAATAAACACCTACATAGGGTCAACTATACTCGTATTACCAATTCGATTTTCCAAGTAATTGAAAGATATTTGTCAAACATTCTAAACAAAAAAGACATCTTAAATAAATTTGCCAATACTGAGCGGAGGCTTAAGCTGTAATAGTTATAAAATTCCTTTAAGTTTTTAATTTTTAAGAAAATTTAACTTGTACCTAAAATAATACTTAATAAATATGTTAATATTTTTACGTTTACTTCAATATCACTTTTTTTATTATCTGTTATATACATTGTATATTGATAAAATAATATTATAATTTAATTATGAATGTTACTTGAGGGACGTGTTTGGGGGTATGGGGAGAAGAGCCTCCCACAGGTTTTAGTTATTTTAAACATGTTAGGGTTGACCCCCCCCCCCCCGACTTTAGGATTTAGTCACGCCTATGATCTCATAGCACTTATAAAGCGTCCTCTTTAATATTTTTCCGAAAAGTTTACTGAAACGATCAACTGTTTATTAAAAATAATCATACACAATAAAACAGATGAAAAATTGACTTTGCAATCTTATTGATGTCACTAGGTGTTAAACAGTGTTCTACGAACAAAACTAACTCATATTAAATATAAATTATAAATTATATAGTAATATACACTCACACATGTATATATATATATACCTGTTTATAATTAATTAGTTACCTAGTAATTGTATGAGACTAATTGGAACGATGAGAATAATAAATGGATTAGAGTCCCCCTGCCATTTTTTACTATTTTAAACCCTGATTATATATACAAGTATTCTTTTTATGAGACACTTAAAAACTTCAAAGTATTCGTAATTAAGAAGTTCATGCTGTTGATAGATATCCAAAAAAAGAGATTTCACTACATAATAACTTTGCCATCTCTTTTAAGTTAGTAATATTAATAAATAATATCCTTGTCGAATTTTTATATAAAATAATGTTATGTTTGTGTATACAAAAAGCTAATAAAAAAAAAATTAAAATAAATAACTTATAAGTATTGTACTCGTATCATCCCATTAATAAATACGATAAAAAATGAAAAATAAATTCGAGTATACAGTGTAAATATTAAATATCATGAATAAAAATATTATAACATTGGAAAAGATTTATTAAAAATAAAGAATTTAAATAATTAATTTTATATGTATGATATTGTAGTCTTTAAATAATTTATATATTAAACAAACAATAAAAATAATATTCAGTTTTCAATTTCGACGTAGTTTTCTATCAGTTGGAATATTTCGTTTTTAAAGGATCCAAATGATTAATTCAATCTCGTGGAATTACATTAGTATAATTAGAACCAATATTACTAATTATTTAATAAATTTTATTTCAATTCATGAGCATTTGAATATAATTCAATTTAATAAAATCTATATGATCAATGAAAAACACGTTTTCAACGAAAACCGACAAAGGTTATCGGTATAGCGCGCAGGCTAACGGCCGTATACCACACGGAGTCCATTGCCGTTTCGCTGGGTGGTCTGTTAGCAAAACTTATCAATTCGCGGAAGTCCTTACGTTATCACTAAATATAAAATGTATACGTAAAAAATATATATTAAAAATTATGTTCTTTGTACATGATATATGTGCGTTTTTAATTGTGCCTAATTAATGGACAAGGGATGACAAAAAAACTTATAACAAGTAACTTATTTAAACTCGCATCAAATTACAAATTAGGTATAGCTGTTAATGTATCTAATACATTTTTAATATTTTTAAAAACAAATTTTAACGCTAAAATAATTCAGAAAATCTTTGAATGAACTCAAGCAATATAATCCGATTTAACGATTATGCTAAATTGCAGTACAGATTTAAATTTATAAATTTCATTAAATATAACCTACACTCAAATAGTTCCATAATATGTAGACAGATCAATGAGTAAAATGTAAGCAATATTTCTTAAATTATAAATAGTATAAGTTAAACTCGTTTTAGTTTTCAAATGCATTCAATATGCGTATTTTCGGAATTAATTAAATGGTATGATTTTCGATATTCCAAATACATCTGTAACTCATTACCTATCATTTGTGAGCAAAAATTTAATAAGTGACAGACACACGATAAAATAACAAAACAGAAAATATTTCCTACAAAATGTGATTTAATAAATATTTTTTCGATTATAATTTTTATGCTATTATATTATGGTAATGACCAGAATTTTGTTCGCAGTTCATTAAAAAACTAGATAAATCTACAGAGAGAAAACCATGCAGTAATGCAATAGACTATATAGCTATTGTTAATAGTGTTTTACTTCGACCGGAAACATCGTGATAAAAGAAGAATATATTCAGATAACACGTTCTCACACAGAATTCTCTTAGAGGAAATATGATTTGAATATACAAATATATATCATGTATACATGGATATTAGTATTGTAATTTGTTTGTCGTGTTGTCATTGATTTCAAAAACATGCCGTTCCGTTATAAAACTTTAATACTCAACGCCGACCATATAAATATTATTCATTTTACAACATAAATAACATTGTACACAATAAATCGTACCAAACTGTCATAACTGTGCTGCAGTGTACCATTATTTTTCAACAGATGTCTAGAGAAAATAGGCGTAATAGAATTATTTTACGTGTCTAATGTGTTTCGTTACATAATGAGATAGAGTTCCGGTCGATGTTTTTTGGTGATTAGAATCTGAAAGCATTTATAACATACAGGATGTCTACAAACTGTTTTTACATTTTCAGTTCATCGGAAATAAAAACCTATTATCGCGTTCGTGACCATCGATATTTTATTACACGCATATTATTTTAATAATATAAAAGTATGAATGATGTTAATAATATGTATTAAGTTCACAATGTGTTAAAAAATACAAATTTTCAAAATAATGACTCTAAGTGAATTAAATGTGATATTGAATAATAAATATATTAATATCAGGTATATGTGATGAAATATGAAATTTAGAATGTATTTGAACTAGAACATTTAAAAAACATGCACGGCCGAACAGTAATGATATTAATAAACATTATAAAAAAAATCAGCAAAACTGAATGATGGAGCATGCATTAATTATATATGGTGTTCTAATAATTTGACCGTAAACGTTATCGAGTAGATAATAAATTATCTATTGATATTTTATTTCCATTCATACCGATTGATAAAATATATTAGATTAGTATAATAATGTATTTTAATTTTACTGTTTCTGTTTTCTTATGTAATCGAAAAAAATAACTGAACGGAAATGAGACGAAATACATATTTTGAAAATAATTATTTGATTTTCCGCGATTTCGTTTTTATTCGAACTAACCACGTGATGTAGTATTTTTTATGTACTAAAAGAGTACGAATTTAAGTTTTTTTTTGTTTACAGTTGTGTGCGTCTAGATATTATAATAAATGCTTGTATTTTACATACCAAATGTAATGTTTTAATGACGTTTCCTAAGTTGTAGGATACATAAAATAATAAACAAATATTCAATAACAGCCCTTGAATTATACGAACAGTAAATTGAACTCTAAGATTTACAATGCATTTTTGCTTTTGCGTTAATTTCATGAGATATCGGACCAGTAGTAAATACTTATAATTGGTAGTCGAAAAAACGATTTAACGCGGTTCGGGTGCTCCACTATCTATCGCAAACTATCTAAGTTATAACTATTTCAATGCATCTAGTTCTATTACGAGCTATGTAACAGGCGTATTTATTGTTGAAAAGCGACAAAACAAGAATTTCTTACCGGACAGGAAGAGGAACAGCACTGTTCGAGCGGTCCACGACGACGTTTTCACGTCGACCAACATTTTTCTTATTTATTTCTTGAACGACTCACGAGCACCGCTGTTGGCAAGTCATCTACAAAACATACGAGAGTACAAATACGTTAGTCTGCGGAACGTGTGTACTCAAATAGTATTTATTCCGAGAGGGATCGGGAGGAGGAACGCTACAGCGTGGATAGATAAAGATAGACGGCGAGGGAGAGATAGAGAGAGAGAGAGAGAGAGAGAGAGAGAGAGCGAGAGAGAGCGACGGAGAAGGAATGAGCGGCGAGGGCGCGTAGGAAAGGAAAGAAAAAGATGTGTGCGCCACATGTGTCACGCAGGACCGAGACATGTGTGCGGTGACTATAGACAGCGCGCGTCCACGTTATTATTGTACACGTGCGTACGACACGTTCCAGAGGCCTTGCTCGGAAAACGATTTCTAAACGCGTCGAAATGCAGGACTCGAGTAAGGATCGGTGTAGGGACGCGATGCGAGCGACGGTGACGAACGCGCTTTTACCTGCCGAGGGATTGCAAAGTCTGGTCCGCGGTTGCCTGGTCAACAGCGCATGGCAGAAGACGCGACTCGTTCGCTGCCCGGGGTTGACGTTTGTTCTCGGCGGTGTTCTCGCTCCGTTCCGACGACGGTGTCCCGGTGTGTGGTGTGACGGCGGCGCGCTCGCGTGACGATGGTTCGGGGCCAGTGTACCACCGGCGACTGCTGCTGCTGCTGTCGATGCTGCGGAGATATCTCGTTCCGGTGCCTCGCCGACTGCGTGCGTGCGTGCGTGCGTGCGTGCGTACGGCGGCGGAGGCGATGTCGGCGGACCGACTGCTAAAAATAAAACCGGTTGCGTCCTGTCGAGCGGGGCGGCCGGCGGAGGGAAAGCTATCCGCATGCCTTTGCGCGCGCGTGCGCGTGCGCCGGTGCCGTTTTCGTTCGCCGCGGACGATCCTTTCGCTCGTCCTGCAGGGACCGTTTCGACGCCGACCGTTCGTCACGACGCTCGTACGCCATTCGATCGATCGTTAACGATCGTCCTCTACTCGATCGTATCGGGTCTTTGCACGTTGCGCTCCGCGTGTATCTCTCTGTACGTGCGCAACGCCGTTCAACCGATTCCGTTAGTACCACTTATACCTGTACGATGTTGGTGCACTTGTTCGCATGTCGTTGTTACTGTTCATCGTGTACGTACGTACAAGTTAAAAACGATTTTCCACCGTTATACCGTATTCTATTCCTTGTTCGATGTATGATACAACGAAAGCGAAATAGGTATCCTCTTTCCGATCGGGTACATCAAAATTTTTAATTATGTTTCTCCTCGTTTTATCGGTCCTGCGTGTTTGCATATTTTCTATAAAACTAGGTTATAATTTATAACCATAGTTTAATATTGAGGTAACATGTTAGCATTTGTTTTCCGATATACACTTTGATCATTAGATTAAGACAGGACCGTTGTCAAGTAAGGGGGGGGGGGGCAACGAGACAATTTTTTCTCGGGTCCTGGTCTAAAAAAATTGAAAAGGAATCACTTTAACGTCCAGATTGCTAATACGTTACTCGTTAGAGATTATTGATAATCATTCATTATTTCTAAACTATTTTTCATTATGAAATATTAATAAATTTAATTAAATAAAGTAAACTTAGATTTATATTTGAGCGCTATTATGCAAGCTACATTTTCAGTTATTCGAATTTCTAAATAATTTTAACCATAATTTATTATGGTTACTAGAATATGAAAAATTACATAATCTTATCCAAATTATCTTAAAAAATCGTTATCAAAGGCATCTACACGACAACATCCAAGTTTTTATTATAAATAGTTCAATTTTTATTAAATGTGGTAAATGGTAATACATTCTTGAAAAGTTATTAAAAATGTAATTCATTGTATCGATGCATTTAAATGACTTTGATTGGTTAAAGTTTTTAAATTATATTAACCACTAATTTGAAACCGGGGTGTATTTTTTTATTACACTCGTATATTACTGTGATCAGTGACGTCGAAAAAAAATTTGAATGGTCTGGTCAATAACTCCCCGATTTACAACTTACAATTAATCCCTCCCCCCAAAAAAAAACCTACTTTAAGGAGTTGGGAGTTCAAACATTCCAAGTACGATATCGTATGTTTAACATATTTTAAAATATTTGATAGTATTTAAGTACTTAAGAGTCTTAAATAGTAATTATTAAATGGGCAATATAATATGTATAGTATGCGTTGTATATCTACATCGATTTTGCGCCAAATTAGTTACAACTGGCAATGTGGCAAGACATAATGAACTGTAATAAATGTTGACCTATACATTTACATGAATTTTGCGTACATAGTAAATAGTATATCAGGAAAATACCTCATAAAATCAACGAATCAGAGTTATATGCATGTGGATCTTTGTGCAGGTGTATGACATAAGTACATTTTAAATATGACATTTTTAATAATTATTATTTTATATATTTTAACCTTAACTAAAAAAAATACTAAAAATCTTGATGAATTTTGTCAAAAAAAAATATTTTCATGTAACATTGTGTAAAATTTAATATCGCGATATACCGGTATGTGGTATGTAGATTTTCGGATCGTTAAAGACACGATTTTAATACAGCTTATACCTATCATGTTATTATACTTCAAAATATATTGATAACATTTACGTAGACACTGTGTACAGACAATAATGGTATAGTTTCTCAGGGAATGGACTATAAACATATCGCTTATGTGAGAAACCATATTAAACTATAATGATAAATAGTATATATAGTACTCAAATACAAATAAAATCATTCATTGGTAGCTATAATGAAAAATCTATTCATAATGTCTTATGGTAGTAATATATAAACATCGTCGTTTAAATTTAAATATTATGTTAAATAAATGTTTCCTTCTTTAGAGAAAAACTAACGAAAAAATGTTCTACGGAATTTTTTTAGTAACAATTATTCGTAGTGATTATATATTATATTTTATAACATATATAATAAATGATTATATATTATATTCGTAGAGTATATAGTTTTTATAATACTTAAATTCTTCGCGGAGAAATTAAAATTTACTAATCACGTAAAAAAAATCTTGCAAATTCAACATTTATTTAAATAATACTTAGACGGTTTCCGAGAGTTGGCCAACAAAATACGGGAACAACGAATAAGTGTTAGTGTTATGCAAATGCGTTTGGTTTAGTTCAAATTTAGACGTTAAGAACAATGTGGATACGTACCCTCTCTCTTTATTCGGTTCAAATTTTCTGTACTATTCCAGCGCGTCGTGTCTACCCAAAACGATTACAGACAATGTACATCATAAGCATAGGGTCGAGTACACGACGGTACAACGTACCGTGTAATTCCAACCGTGAAAACACTCATGAAATGAATGCGTCATAGTTTGAGATGAATTCATAATGATCGTTGCATACAGCCAATGTAAATAAACTTATATACGTAGAGAGAGACGTTTTAGATTTGTTGCACGTCCGTGGACTATATACGTATATGAGTGTGTATGTGCGTGCGCACTGTGTATGTATAGGTATATACTAAACGCGTGATCAAGAGTTTAAGATCAGAATGTTTTTACTGAAATATACGTATATATGTATACCTACTGTAAATGGTTAATTTTATCATCATAGGTTATAGTACCATGTACCTAACGCTAGTTCTTTACGCTCTACAGCCAAAAACGGTGACCTATTTAATTGTATCACAATTTAATATTATCGCGCTACACATATCTGTATGAAATATATTCAAATTAAAGCAATATTTATAGCAACGATAACTATACTTCATAGAATAGTATAGATACTAATTATACGGCTGTGCCTACAAACCTACAGATTTTAAATAGAACTTACAGATTCATCGAGAAACTAATGACTCCGTGAGACACTAATCACATTTGAATGAAATTTCATTCTAAAAACATTCTGAAAATATAAATTCAAAACGAAAATTGTTAATACTTGTAACCCTCAAACTGTATAAAACAATGCAAATTGTATTACAATATATAACATGTAACTAAGAAAACATTCAAAAAGTTTAAAATGTATCTAATTTAATTTTATAACCCCGATAACCAAATTTGGACACGCATCAGAAAAAAATTCATCAGATTTCATATATTTAAACTTAATGTTAAAATACAGTTTATGAAATATTTTTGTTGTGATAAGATAACTGGAAAACTAATATTATGATTTAAAATAAAAAAATATTAAAATCATTACAAAATAATAAGGAAAATCCCTGAATGTCTCTTACGTTTCTATTTCCTATCAATTATTAAAATGTTCAAATAAATAAATATACATCCAATTTTAAATTAACTATTTTATTGTATTTTCATATGGATTTAACTTATGAGCTGAACCTTTACTTGAAAAATGAAATTAGATATTTGGAATATCTAGAAATGCATACAAATTAATAGTCCATAAATCACACATCTACATTTTCAAGTATGTATAATATACCGAATGTTAATTTTTTAAATTAAATACATAATATCTACTTATTATGTTCTAAGTTAAAAATCCAAAACCAAATGTATTTTTTAATTGTCATTGATTTTAAATTGATTTCAACTATGATATATCAAAGCTGAAATATTCATTACCTATAGTAAAAATAGAATATGCTAATATAAATAAATGTACCTATTTAAAATAAACAGCATTTGCTATCCTTAGCACTCATATAATTTTGTTTGTCATATCAATACAGGCATGAAAAAATAATGACTCGGGCCCTGATTTATATAAAAATACATATTCATCAACAATTCACAGTGGCGTATTTACGGGGGGGGGGGGGGGTCCCGGGGTCTCGACCCCCCCCCCAGAAAAAAATGTAAAAAGTCAAAAAAACTTGGTACGTAGGTACCGAGAAAGAGAATATTAATTTTATATTATGGGTTTTTACTTTGGTTTAACTTTTGGTTATTTTTGTCGCGTCGTTTGATATTGAAATTAAAATTCCGAGATTAACAAAAAAAACAAACTAATAGATGTTATATACCATTAAATACTCCGGAACAATATTATCGAGCATCAATTTTTATTCCTTATCTTGACAAATTTATTACAGAGTTAGAAGAAAGGTTCAATGTTCATCGATCGATTTTATCAGGTTTCGATTCTCTATTTAGGGAAAATGGTCCCATCGAAGATATTATAATTCTTTCAAATAAATATATTGAAGATTTGCAGAATGATGGATCTCAAAATCAAATTATTGTAGCAGAATACAAATTATGGCAGAGAAAACTCATACAAACAACAGAGAAACCAAATAATGCTCTAGAGGCTATGGCTATGTGTAACCAGTCAATTTATCCAAACATATTTAAACTTCTTCAAATCTTAGTCACGCTACCTGTTTCCTCTGCAACAAATGAAAGAACATTTTCAAATTTAAAAAGAATAAAAACATATCTAAGGAATTCCATGTCAGAGGTAAATTATTATAAACTTAAAAAAATATTCTTGTTATTTACAAATTACAATTAAACACTTTGTTTATAGGGAAGATTGAACGGTTTAGCGATGTTATCAATAAATAAAAACTACTCAATAAAACCAGAAGAAGTTATTGAAGAACTGGCGAGGAAAAAAAGACGTTTACCTTTTTTATTATAAAAAACTATTAATTTGTATTAATAAATCATAATAGTAGTGAAATATACATAATTTAATATAAATAGTATAGTTATTACATATTTATATCATAACTCGTATGTGTTTTTTTTATATTATAAACTTATAGGTACTTAATATTTAGACCCTCCCCACAAAAAATTTGAAAATACGCCACTGACAATTCACATATAATAATTTTGATAATAAATGTCGTAATGAGTAGATTCTATAGTTAATTTTTTTTTTTGCACATTTTTGTATATTTTAATGAAAATGTATATTAATTGCACATTTCTAGATGTTGGAATAAATATTTAAAATAATAATAATAATATTCTATATTGAAAAAAAAATCGATATTATAATCAACGGCGAAGTTAAAAGTGACGAAGACTAGGAACTGTCAGTTGAAGATTTATCTAGTTTTAAATACGCATCAAACGTATCTTAAAAAATATAAGTCAGTGGCGTATTTGAGGGGGGAGGGGGCGATGGGGGCAATCGCCCCCCCCCCAAGAATTTTTAGACCAAGAAAATTTTTATGTAAGTAATGGGTATTTTATTAAGAAACAAAAATTATGATTTATTTTATAGTATTACTACATTTAAAAACGTTTCAAATTTTACACTAATTTAAATAACGCAAAACGCTAAATTTTTCATAACGTTTTAACTGTCAATAATGGTAAACGAACATTTTTTTAAAGGTTTAAATTTGTATAACGTTTAAACGCTTAAATTGAATAACGTTTAAATTATTTATAGTGTTAAACGCTCAATTGCTTATAATGTTTATATGTCCCATAACGATAAATAATATATATTATTTTGATTGACCATACTTAGTGAAAAATTAGATAAAACATAAGCAAAACTTTCAAAACAAAGATAGGTGTTAAAAAAGAACTACACAAAATACCATTTTAAGTGGGTTCGGCATTAGATTAAAAAAAAAAAAAAACCACAAATATTAAGGATTCACCTGATATAAATACTACCAACAATTTTACTTGTAAATGTTGAGCCTGAATTAAAGAAAAAATTTAAGTCGCCTCCCCCTAGAAGTAAGTCTAAATAAGCCCCTGATATAAGTACCTATCCAAAATAAGAATTATTTTATCTAATTTATCTTTTAATACCCACTAACAATCTACGGAAAGTAAGAATATAACAGTTGCACCTTCTACTTCAATACTGCGTCGATACCGACGGTTTTGATGTAAAAATAATGCATGAAAAAATTCTGCACACCACCGCCTTTATGTGTGTAAATAAAATATAATATAAATGGTCGTAATAATGGGCGTAAATCAAAAAAGGCACAGTTGCCTGACACACACGCACAATTTATTGTTTTCGACAAGCTCTCGTTACGAACGATCTGCTGTGTAATGTCAAATCTGTAAACTAACAAGTTAAAGTCAACATGTAGGTAATCAATATTCATATTTTTTGTTTAGTTAATTTGTACATAATATTTTGATTTCTTATTAGTTATTTACAATCAATTCCGTTCTCTGATTATTTTTATAAATAAGTAGTTAGTGAAACACAGTATTCCTATATTATAATCAGTAGTGGCATGAAGTAATATATTCCCTGAAAAACTTTCAAAAAGTAAAAAAAAACTTCAAGCTCAAAATTAGAACTATTATATTGGTGAAACGAAAAAAAACTATCCAAAAAATGCACTGATATCAACATTGTCAAAGCTTTTCATTTACCTGGTACTTCAACCATTTCCCTAAACTTCTTTTTTTTTTCCTTTGTACCTGTTTTGTTTCAATATCCAATACTTGGTGGCTGATATATACATGTAATTATCAAAAACACACATATTAGGCTGACATCAATATTAAAATCAGCCGCCAAGTATTAGATATTGATATTGAAACAAAACAGATACAAATATAATTTTTATAACTACGGGGGAAAAGAGAGAAGTTTAGGAATATGGTCGAAGTACCTTGTAAATTAAAAGCTTGAATTATGTTGATATCAGTGCAATTTTTGGACAGATTTTTTTTTTAGTTGCAAGAATATAATAGTTCTGATTTTGAGCTTGGCATATTTTTACTTTTTGTAATTTTTTTTGGGTAATATCAGTATTTTTCTTTATTTTTTAACTATAATGCTTATATATTATAAGTAACTATTGTATTATTATTAATTGTTATATACTATATTATAATTAGGGCTGGGATCTTAATGACCTTAGAAATCGCGAAAAATGCATTAAAAAACGACCTTTGGCGTCTGTAGTTTCATCAATAGAGACCCATATTTTTTTGTTTTCTAGGTATGACTTTATAATTTGTATAGTTTCATCGTAAAAAATCCTAATGTAATTTTTCCGTAATGTAGAATGATCAGGAGTTTATTGGTATACTTTTCCAAAAATGAACGTAAATTAGAATTATCGAGCTTACTTAATAGAATATTACATAAAAAAAAGGTTTGAGTTAAATCTAAAAAGTATTCTTACCTGTTTGTGTGACTTGATGTATTGGCAATAAAACATTGTGACATATTTTTTTCTTGTTCTTCAATTTGTTATCTTCGTTGTATTTCATTTACATGTTTGTCTCTTGATATAAGTTGATGTATGGGAGAACATTTTTCAGCAGCAACTTTTACATTGCATACCTTACACAACAACACTAATCCGCCAGTAGAAAAAAATCTATGATCTATAATTTTAAATTCAAAAACACAAGAAATCGTGTCCCCCCCCTTAAATACGCCCCTGCTCCTTAGTGACGCTTATGATACTATGTGTTGCATGATAGTGCTCTCTGAGCAATAGGTAGTGTTGTCGGCCGCCGCGAACAGTCGCGTCTTGAAAATAGTTTATACATTTTTTTTATAAACAGATACTAACCGTCATGTTGAACTTAAGAAATTGGTAGAAAATATGTAAAAATCAATGATTGAAAAAAATATCTTTGAAAATGTATAGTAAAATATATAAAACAATGTTTTTATTGACCTATTTCGCAGTTGCGATGGTGGTGTAATGGTCAGCATAGTTGCCTTCCAAGCAGTTGATCCGGGTTCGATTCCCGGCCATCGCATGAATTTTTTACATCTTTTATTTATTTGAATAATAATAAATCACATGATATTTATTATTACTTCACAAACAACCTAATCGAATGATATTGTTCGGCAGTCAACTAGAACAGTTTAAATTTGTAGGCGTATTAGAGGGGAGGCGAAGGGGGCATTCGACCACCCCATGGCTCGTACTTTTTTTTTAATATAATACATTGATTTATTTAAAAAATGTAATGTATACATAATTAAGTATATAAATTACTAGTCTATCACTATGATATGAATTGATGAAATAATCAACAAATTTGCCAAAATGAAAATAAGAAATTTTGAATTTGTTATTTGACTACTTACCAACCTCGTGTTTTCTATTTAGATATTTGTTAAATTAAGTTACCTATCTTAGTTGTTTTTTAAAGTTTTTAAAAAATAATTAATAGGTACTATTACTACTATGGTAATTTGTTGTTTTTTTTTATACAGAATTTAGACTGAAGGTACAATTTTAATATAGAAACTATTTGTGTTATTATTAATACTTATTTTTTTTACAGTATGTTTTAAATATATTTATTAAATAAATATTTAATTCAATTTGGTACTTCTATTTTTATTTATTTACTCAAATGAGCAACAGAAACATGATCTGTAAATTATTTTTAAGTTTGTATAGAAGAAAAATGATTATGACCCCCCCCCCCCCCTCGTGGCAACATTCAAATACGCCTTTGTTTACATTTTACTCTCAATTGTTATTTAAACAAACTTTTTTTTTTTCATAAACACCACGTATTATACACTTTAAGTATACAATTTAGCAGTTAATTATTTATTTTTAATTTTATAATCTGAACACAGCTAATGTAGAAGAGTGTAAATGAAAATGATTAAATACAGTCAGGTATTTATTTGTATATACGTTGAAATTGATCTCTCAAATAAAAAATATATGATACTGAGTACTGATTATTCATAGTAAGCATTCCTTCCTTTTTTTTTTTTTACATACATTATCATATTACTTATTTTGTTAGCCTTATTTATTTTATATCAATGATAAAATGATTATAGACAATATAGTTATTCATTAATCAAATCAATATTATAAAAATGGTTTATATTTTATTCAATCTGAAAATATTTCAAAACTAACCAACTAAAATTTTTATTAGAGTATGTACAAATTACAAACATTTTTGAATAAAAACAGAAATGAATAAAAGCATTTCCTATTTTAAAATTAATAACAATATTAAGAATTGTTAATGTACTTATAGGTTTGGTTAATTTACTATGAGACTGAACATTTATATTAATTTAAGATACACTGTTAAATATACTAAATCTTGACAATTGCAGGTAATTTATAAAAAAAGTGAAATTTAAATAAGAAATTTTGTTTTCAAATAAATAGGTCAATGTATAATAATTCAAAATTATTTTAAGAATCTAGAAATAATAATAATAATAATAATATTTTTATTTTATCCATGTCTTAAAATTACTTATTTGGTATTATTACACTATTTTAAATTTAATTAATTCCAAATTTATTATATATAACTAAGTATGAAATGGAAAGTTTCTTCATCTTCTATAAATTTTACAAGGTTACGAATATTTTTTATACTTCGGCTTTAGTATATAGTATATTTTAAATATAGATTATGTGTGCTTTTACTATAATAAGCCAAACATATATAATATCTAAGAGGTACATGAGTTTAGTCAATTTGTGTGGAAAAACAAACTTGATCATAAAATCTTGATACAATTAATGGAAATTATCAAATAAAACATTTACTATATTAATAGTTAACAATAAACACATTATTTAAATTCAATATATATGTTTCAATAATTTGTACAGTGTAACATTTATCAGTTAATTAAAAACGAAAAATCAATTTTATAGACCTGAAGAATTTAAAAAAAAAATTTAATAATGGTAATAATTATTTTGTGCGGACAATTAATATACGTCAGATCTCAAGCTCTGCAATTTTCTAAAGGATACGTTGAAATAATTTAATAAAAAAAACATTATATATCTACAAATGCATAAACAAATTTATAATTTTATTCACCAACAATTTGAATGTCAACAGAATATTATTGAAAGCTTCAAAATAATTAAAAATCATTATATTTTAATTTCTTAAGTCTACTCAGTAAATTCATACTGTGCATATAATTACTATTAAAGGACAAAGAATATTTTCATAGTTAATGCATAAAAAAAAAAAAAAAAATTAAAAAAAAAAAAATAATTTGAAAGAAACTTTTAATTTTTAATTTATAACCTCAAGCTAAAAACAATTCATTTTTTGAAAACTGATTTGGGGCTCTGGAAAATCTTCCGAGTCTTCAACACTGACCAGTAATGCCTATGGAGGTACCAGACAACCAAATTGAGTACTCCCAAGATAGTAAATGCCTAGGATAAATAAATAATAAATAAAAGTATTAAGAATATTAAAAATATAAAAAATTACTGAATGCAACATACTTTCATGGCAAATAATTTTCTAGTATCATGTTCTGGTTCTGCACACCATTTTAGGAATGTAACAACATCCTTAGCACACTGGCTTTGAGTAGCTGGAGTTCCATCTTCATATTCAATAATCTGAAATACAATTTTTTGATATACTTATATGATAAGACTTATTTTCATTATCCTTTTTAATTATTAAGTTATTGTCATTGGTGTGTAACCATGGTAATCATTCGTCTACGGTCTAAAAAATATTTGGAAAAAAATGTGCAATTAAAATCATTACCTCATCATACAATGCCTGAGCCATACCAATTGCTCCTCCAGGGAAATAAGGATTAAAATGTTGATTTTCTGCGATTACCACACCTTCAGGTGGGTCCATATATCCAGTTAATAAAGAAAATATATAATTCTAAAAATAATTTAAAAAAAATCCTAGTTATAAAACTATTTGGAATTAATTATTCAGTAAATATTTATGTAGATCAGCATTAATTAAACTTTTTTATCCGCGGAACCCTTTTTGATGTCCACATTTATTGTGGGACTCCTTACTTTTTTTTTAGGTTTTTGGCTATTTTTAGGATTATTTGTAATTAAATTATAATCATATAATAATATTGTGTTAAAGGTGTTTAATTTAAAAGAAAGTTAATATAAAAATAATAATAATTGTACACGTACATAATATTTCTTCAATAATAATTACTTCAATTTAACTATTCCATATGGCTTATACACTACACGTAAATAAAGATTTTTTTTTTTTTCTATAATGCGAATATCTTTTTACCATAACTTATCTTTAGTTGGAAATGTTAAATTTTCTAAAAATTTTTTAAAAAATTACGTAAGCTTCACTAACCCGGATGTGATCTTCGTAAGACCTCAGGGTTCCGCGGAACACAGTTTAAAAAACGCTGATGTAGGTAATCAAATTTTTCTATGACAATATCACAAGTAAAAAAAGATTGAATAACATCACCTCTCCATCTATTCTAGCTTGCGTAATGTAAGTCAAATCTGGTGGATAAGCTCCATTATTGGCATAACGAGCAGCTTCTTCATTTGGATAAGGTTTTGGTATCAAATCCGATAATTTTCCAGGTCTTTTAAACATAGCTCCTGTTTCATCAGGTCCATCTTCAATCTAAATTTTAATATAAATAATTTTAAAATATACTATAAAAATAACAATGTTTAATTACAATACCATTTGTTCAGCAGCTTCAGCTTTGGCTTCATTCTCTGTCAAGCACACACCAACCAACTCTCGATATGCTAAGTATTCAACACTGTGACATGCAGCACAAACATTTTTGTATACTTCCCAACCACGACGAACACTATGAAAAAACTTTAAGTAATTTCAGTTTAACACAACCATAAAACTTAATATTTACCTGGCATGGTCTAATGTATCAAACCAACCATTATGATTCCATTTCTGTTTAGGTACAAGAGCAGCATCATTAGATGCTTTAATTGATTGTTCGAGTGCATAAATTAGAGAACTTCCACCACCAGCTAATACACCAAAACTGGTCAAAAACTATAAAATAAATATAATTAAGTTACATAATAAAAAATTGTATATTATTTATTTTTTACTAAGAGATAAAAGAAAAATTAACAATCAGTAAAATATTCATCTGATATAATAGTTGTTAATTATTCATAATTGAGGCGATGAATGCAAAAGTGGCCTAATATACAAAATTATTTATTATTTTAATTATTCAAATACTTGCTGGTTTACTATCTTGATATACTAAAACCAATAATAATTGTTGTTAACTGATAATCACACTTCTAAAAATAGCATATTTTTGTGGAAAAAAAAATCATTTAAAATTTAAGTAATAAAAAACCATATAATATATAACAGAAATGGATTAGGTCAATTTTTTATTAATATTAAAATTTTTAAGATAGGCAAATTAATGTGTTTTTATAGTATTTAATAACAATTATAAAAATATGGTGGCAACATAAAATTGTTAATAAAATATAATAACCTAAGTCATTCAAGTCATTAGAATTGTTAAATTTAATTTTAAAAAAAAATTATACACAAATTAAGATCTTTTCATTGGAATATTTTTTAAATATAAAATAAGGAACAAGAATTTACTCAGACTGATAGCGAATACATACACACCAGCAAACTTGAAAAAGTTGATTTTAAACATTTGACTATAAAACACAGCGAAAATCTTTTAAGTAGAGCACAAACTCAAAATATAGAATGTCTCTGGTAGTCAGCAATATAGCAGAACAAGAAAAATTATGGAACAGCGTATTATTATTTAAAACCATATTTAGCTAAATTCATGTAATGACAGAACATAAAAGAATGTAAATTCACTGACATTTGAAAGAACAATCAAAATCCAGTTTCCTCAACAAATAGTTGCAATGTTTTACTAGTTAATGCATGTTAACCAAAAAATATTTAATTTTTTCTAAATTATAAATTCTATTTTTTATTCAATTATTCTTATTTTATTTGTGGAATTACCTACCAATTTTGTTTGTGTTGAAGCTGTGTGTCAATAATGATAATAATAGTCTTGGTATAAAAATTTTATTATTTTCAATTTCAATCATCAGTAACCATACACAAAATACATACAATACATATTAAAAAATTCATAAAAATTATATTAATAAAAATATGATTATGTGTGATAATAGGAAAGTAGGCAAATATTGGTAGTCTTAGATAACAAGATTGTGATGTGTCACACGGAATAGTTTTGTAGAAAACAGAAAAGTACCAAATATTGTTCTTGTTGAAAACAAAAATTGTTAGCACAGGAACAGCGTACGACATACAGGATGATCAATACTTGTTGTCAGCTGAATACTTCTCTGTCGACAATCAGGTGACAGTAACGTCATAACAATTATATATACCTAAGTGACACGGACTACATTAAAATATTGGACGCAAAAGACCGTGTTTTCAAGGAAACGACCTAGAATCTGGTTAATCTCCACGCACACTCGGCAACGGAAGGCTGCATAACCTCTAATGAGTGTCTGATAACCGTGGTAGGGGTGCCGTAACGGTCCCGCACGAACATACAATCCGAGGGTGGACAAACTATCGTTTTCTCAAAGTAACTCTACCTAAAATCCACGCAGAAACGACGACGTCATCGGTTCGACCTTCTCAGGACGCGCCTACCGCCGACGGGACCTCGTGAATTCGGCAGTGGCCGTTACGTAAAGGTTACGGGAAACGCGCGGCATACTTACAAACTTATGGTTCTTCGACCACCTAGACACGGCCTGAAAGAATTTCATGTCGGCGACGAACGATGTTCAGATTGAATAAAATGGATACGGAAAGACTCGTCCGGTCGATCGCGTAATCGTTCGGGCCCGTGCGACGGTGATAAGCCGTCGGCGATACCATGGCTCTTGCTATCGCGGCAGTGTGACCAGTCGTAAACGTCGGGGTCGAGCGGCGCCCACGATGTTATTATCGCGTTTCGCGCGTAATGTCCGTTCCTTTGTCGAGGATATATCCGACAGCGTGCGACCGAAAAACTAAACGACTGCGGACGTGAGACAGTGGCCGCGGGTACTCGCGAAAAGCAAAAGGTTATTAATTGTTTGTCGCGCGACAAATAATTCCAACAATCCGTCGCCAACAAGCGGATCGGGTGAAAACGAACGCCTTGCGCGCGGTTAGGTTATGCGACGCTTACACTAACCTGTGTTGCATGACCAAGCGTTTTGATAACAATTCACGAGGACGCGTGATAGTCGTGCAGTCGTGCGTGGTGACAACGGTGTATAGGTGCGTGCACCATCGTCGGGAACATTTTTAATTAAAAACGAAAAAAAACTAAAAATAAGAGGCTGTAGCCATGGAGTAAGTCAATAATACACATTTTGCTAAAAATTCGCTTGCTTCTTGCTTCAACGTTTCCATGCAATTTCCATTGTTGCAACTATCATGATGTAAAAGCAATGTACACCGTCAGGACACTGCGACCATACACGCACGAAGAACTGGGTCCAAACCAAGAATCCGAAATAAAATTTACTTAATACGCTTAAAAATAAATGATTCGTCAGTATCGGAATCAAATTATTTTTTGCAGTACTTTTCTTAGTTGTACCATGTTTAAATAACATACATTTTACACGATACAAAATATAAATACATCTCTGAAATAATATTAACACTTTAAATATTACACTTTTATTTCAGTCTTGTCAAGTTAATTTTCTAATAACTTATAATATTAATTTATAGAACATTTTATAGTATTCTTATTAACAAATGATCTTAGTTTCTTTTATTTTCATTATTATAAGGTTAAATGTTTTTAATTTTTTTACCAACTACTAATGCAAATTATGTCAATGTTATTCTATTGTTTTTTTATCGTTTATAAGTTTTGGTTTGTATCTATTTGTTATTAGTTTTATGAAAATGAATTTCTTGTATGTCGTTAAAATAACGATAACAATCGAGTAAAAAACTAATAACACTAATTAATATGAAAATATAATATTTATAAATTGAAAGCCATTAAGGGGTTTTAAGGATTTTAACCCTGAATTATTATAAAATTATTATTATTAATTATATTAATGTTAATACAACCTGAGGTTTTTTTACATACGTTTTTATTTAGAATATATCTAGTCATCATTCTATAAAAATTAAACTAACTTGAAAATGCGTACATAGTAGTCAATTTTTGTTTCAGCAATGCTGATTTTTCCGATTAGATGCCTTTTTTTTTATTTAATTTTTGAGAATTTTCAATGGACTGTTGATTATTGTTGTAAATGCAGCCATCGATAGAACATATTTTACAAACAAATCAGCTGTAAAGCTGTTCAGAAATTTGTTGGCTTTAATTTATTTTCAATTTTGATATTTTTTAATTTTCCAACGGGTATTTTTTTTTTATTAACTTTTTACTTATCATAACATAAATTATTTTGAATTCCTCCCTTTAACGCATGGTCCTGATGAATTGTATTTTAAATATATTTATGTAGGACTGTGCTTCCTTCATATAGTGTTATAATATTCCGATTTTTGCTTCTATATCCAGGGCCGAACTGGCCCACTATGCTACAGCACAACAGACCACGGCCGTGAAAAAAATCTTTACTAAAATTACAGAATAGTAAACAGATTATATGTTTATAGCACCACCATGGTACATTGTTATATTTTTTAAATGATCTCAAGGCACGATTATAAAAAATACTATATATATATATTGTAAATTATATTATACTGAAATCTAGTGTGAATCAGCTTTTTGGCAGTAAATTTAGTGTTTACCGTGCTTGATGCATATCATGTGTTATGTATATTGTACATATTTATGCACATGTGTTATAATAATTAATGTTATCACAGATGATAGAACAAATAAATTGATAACCAAGTCCGTAATGGACCGGATGACTGTATTATTATACTCTGTGGTATTGTTCTATCGTGATACCCGTTTTTGGCTTTTGCTTATCAAAATAATGTTTTGCAAGTTTTTCTAATAGCAGGCGCAAGAATAAAGTAAACTGTACGCTTAATATTTGTTATAAATAAAGAACAGGTTTTTAGGTTTTTAAAATATGATGCTAATATGCTCTAAAAAAAACTCTAAAATATTCTCTAAGTATTCATTAAACTTGTAAATATGTGATAATATGATTTTTTTTTTAAATAGTTCAATAATATCATTAAATTACTGTTATGGTTCATTCCTTTGGTAACAAGTAAATTATTTAATTATAAAAATTTAAAACAGTTCATACATAATTATAAATATAAATATAATAAAATTATATATAAAAAAACAAAATAGTTAAATAAAAACAATGAACAACTAGAGTACACGATTCCTTGATAAAAGATAAATTATTTAAATGGAAAAAATGGGTAACAGTTCCATACAAATATAAATAAATATGAATATAAATATAACAATCAAATTTTTTTTTCCTAGAAAAATCACAACTCGAGAAATTAATAAAATATGCTTTTTATGAACAATAATTGAATATATTCAAAAATATGAAATATAGACTAAATATTCAAAATAAATGTTTTTCTACGAACTCTATGATGGACAAATTATCCACATTTTTTATCCTCGTCAATCTGTATATAGACAATAAAAATATGTAAAAACCTAAAGATCTACTCTCTAGTTATAAATCTTTAAAAAAAGATATTTTTAATAATTAATCTGAAACAAAATAAATAAATTTACAAAAAATAATATTATATTTATATTAAACTTTACTTATTCTTGGTGTATTATTTTAAAGCTTATATTTTATAGTACAAAGTAAATTTATTTTATATAGTATCATGGGACATGAATTATGGATATGTGATAACATCTCATAACTTCATGATTGTTGAATATAAAGATTATAAGAAAGTGCCCCCCTCTAATCTCTTTAAATCCTACCAAATATCAATTTTGAGATGCAAACACATTCAAAAATTCTCGAAATAATACATTTTAGGCCGGTACTCTCCCAGTTTGAGCCTGTCTATATCAATGTAGTTGCAATATAATATATAATGTATTTGATCATATTGTTGTTATTATTTACTAACCATACTTATAAAAATAATCACCTAAGCCATGAAATTCTAATTTATTTTAAGTCCATCCTGAAAATTTAATAATTTTTCTATTCTATCAGTATAAATTTAAAATTAATAATAATTACTAATAAGGAATAAGACCATAATGTTTTTTATTTTTATAAGTTCAATAAATCATTTACAGTAGAATCTTGTTAATCTGACAGATATCAGATCAGAGGAATTTTGGAAGCATGAAAACACCGGATTAATGGAAGTTCACCTAAAACCACATTTTTACTTACTTATATTAAATTATTAATACATATTTATACAAAAAAATTTTACCTATTTATACTCAATACTTTATCATAAGACAACCCACTAAAAATATTTTCATTATTGACTGATTGTATTATGCGAACATTATCAATAAAAAATACAAGTTATTTGTTTTCTAAAATGTTTAAATAATTAATCATTCAGTTACTTTTTGAGAACTATTCCAGTTTATATTAAGTTCACTTTTTAGACTCTTGGTTTTATTAATTAATATATGACATACATGCATTCATATTCGTACATGTCAGTAAAATATAATTTATTTTAAATTCATCATTAGGGCTCAGAACTTAATGCACTTAAAAAATACTAAATATGCATGCACTTATGCGCATAAAAAAGTACAAATATGCTTTAAAAATATGCACTCAATTTTTTTTAATGCAAAAATTTTCATAAATAAAGGTATTTTACTAAATATACTTGTACATAACAACAGTACAAATGTTATTAGTATATTATACTAAGCTAAACATAATTTCTAGGTATAAATAAATAAGAAAATTAAGTAAAATAAATAGCTTGAAATTTTAAATTTTCTTTCAAAATGTTCCCATTAAATGATGTATAATATATATATATCTGTAAAGAACAAATAAGAATTAGAAAAGACGCTTAGAACCCAATTTATAAGTAAAAAATACATTTTGTTTTTACCTGCAAAACTATTGCAATGAACCACTAAACATTTTTTAATGTTTTTAAAAGTTAAGAGATAGCCAATTAAACGATTAATGCAATCAACGATAATCATTAAATTGTTATGGTTAAATATAAATAAAACTGAACATTTTGTGTTAACCTAGGATTTGAGAATCATGATAGGTACAAAATCTTATGAAAACTCTCAAAATAAATATTTTATAATTGCTAACATTTTTAAATGTTATTATCAATTCATCAATAATCATCAAATATGCTCTAAAAAATAACAAAATTAAGAAGTATGTGCTTAAAATTGCTAAACCACTAAATATGCAAAAATATGCATTATAAACTTTTAATATTTTTTTCGTAATGTCATGAAAATAATTTCAAGCTTATTTAGCAATAAATTGAATAGCCCAATAAAAACATGCAAATGCAACATTTTCTGAGCTCTATTCATCATAATACATTTAAATAAGTATTTAGTTTGCCAAAATCAAATAACTTGTGGGCTTATAGATTTTAAATACAGATAAATAGCAATGAATTTTTTATAAGACAGACAAATGCTATGATTCCTAGTGGCTATGTTACGTAATTTTATCGACTGCAATAAATAAATGTTTTTTATTTATTGATAACATCGCTAAACCGTTTAATCTTCCATATAAACAAAATTTACTATATTCTTATACTATGTCTACTATAATTTTTTTCCTTCTAGGGGTTGATCAATATCCTAGACCCTTAATCAAAAAAAATTTAAAAAATATGTACCAAGTATATCTATTGATATTCATAGTATTTGAATAGATCAACAATAATATTCTGATGTTTATTACATATGATATTCTTGGCATTTTATTTATCGAAATATTCGTTTCATATATATTTTATTTTTAAACAGTCATACTGCTTGTATAAATTTAACACTCATAACTTAAGAGATAGCTTAATTTATATTCATTAATTATAAATGAATCGCTGGAACGATATTAAATTCTTGTAACTTATATTCAGTTAAATATTCAGATTCACAATGTTTTTAATTGCCATATTTATAAATGTTTTAATAATATTTTTCAGTGCTAAATTTAATATCGATATGGTTTTAATTAATTTTACAATGAAAAATGTGTTTATAATATATATTCTATCACTGGATTTTACCATCTTATCATTCTTATCTATCGATTAATAAAACATTAACATTGGATACGATATCAAAAATCTTGTAACTATCGATATTATATTCGATATCGTTATTATCTCTAAATTCGATTGTTCAGTGCCTGTTGACCATAGCATGGTAGAGTTGTTAGTTGTTTTCTTTCCAATAATTTATTTTATTCATATAGTTATAATATTTTAATTTAATACTTCGATTATTCAGTTATTGTTGCCATTTATTTGATTTATTTTAAAATCTCATATTGACTGTTTTAAATATTTATCATTATAGTTTTTAATCAATTTATGGTTGTTTTTAATAATTTCATTTATTTAATTTATATTTAATAATTTATTTTCGAAATCAAAGGTACAAAGTACAGTTTTTTTAGTTATTATTTTGGCCTGATTAATTTAACTAAAAAATAATTAAATAATTAAATTTATTAATTATTACTAATTAAATAAATTTAATCATAAATTATTATTTAAAATGTACTTTTAGGGATTTTTATGTGTTCCATTTTTCTATAAAAATTTAAATAATTTATGATAATACTGAATAAATAAAATAAATCATTAAATTTATGTATCATATAATTGTTTTTGAATTAACTATTAAGTATGTATATTTATGTTAAACTTATACAGCATTTAGTGATTACATACTGTAGCACAGTGGTTATCTCAGTTGTCCAACACTGCAGATTGACCTAGAATTTAAGAAATGTTTTAATTTGTTAATTAATTCAAAGAAATATTTATTGTTACATCTTTGATATAAAATGATGATGTACATTTATAACCAGGGCTAGGATTTGTATGCAACAGCATGTTTTTTTTTTGCGACTTCTGATTATTGATTTTGTCAGTAATGTCCACTAATCACCTCATGATGAGATACATGGTGGTACTTTTATTATGCATGTTATTGTATATTTTAGATAAAATGCATATTATTGCATATATTGAATAAAATTAATATTATTGCATATTTCGATTATAAGAATGCGAAAAATTGATATTTTTTAGCATATTTTGTATTTAATATTTATAATTTAATATTAATATTTCGTATATAATTCTAGACCTGCTGATTAAAGTATAAAACTTGGTTCTTTTTGTCAAACATAAAATTTATTTTAAATTATTTTTATTTTATTTTTCAATTACATTATATTAAGTTACATTTTTAAAAATGTATACTTAGTTTCGTAATTGGTAAGTTAATCAATTATTTTCTTATATTTATATTTAATGAATAAACGATATAACTTTTAAAGATAGGTATATGAATAAATTACATTTATAAATTTAATAAGTAATTATGTTGTACGTTAATAAATAGCGTTGTTCATAGGTTACAAACTAAAAATTGGTTTTTTTAGAGACTTAAATACCAAAACATTTTTAAGTAATTTCCCCTTCATTAGGACTAATATAACAACCCAAAAAAATTAAAAATAAAAAAATCATGCATTGTAGTGTTAAGAAAAAAATCCAACCACTGATGTATTTCAATAAACAAATATTTTTTTTAAATATATTTTTGTGTTTATCTTATAAAAATCTAAATGCATAGTTTGGTAAATAAAATGCATATTTTTCAATTTTTTATTGCATACAAATCCTAGCCCTGTTTATAACTTAGAATACATGCTTTAATTTATTATTTTTTTTTGTTTTGTTTGTTTTAGTTATAAATTTAATGGAAAGGATATGAACAAAAACGAATTTTTCCATCTATTAAATCTTCGAGCAGTTAAACCTAATCAAGTATTAATGATTATAGTATTAAAATATTTGCTTATGTTGTTTGAAATATGTAGATTAACTTGATTTTTAGTAGAATAAGTAATTTCTACTAGAAATTTTTATTTTTATATTATTTTTTATCTATAGAAACTGAGGTCATTGGATGGAGGGTGGTTTTGATAAAGTAGTTTTTTGATTATATGATAAGTACACTGTGAGGAAAAACCTTGGGGATTTCTTCTTTTTGGATAGTCCTATCATCTAAGAAGTAAAACTAGTAATTGGGTTCTAACCTACAACTTTACACTTATATACAGCTGCCTATCTCAATCAGCTATGATATATCTCTTCTAGTTAGTTAAATTTTTTTTTATGTTAATGTTCTTGTTTAATATTTAAGAAAAATGCATACTAGACTTTTTTTTAATTTAATTTGATATTCTATAACTGAAAACATTTTGTTTAATTATTACAATTTATTTTGTCTAGCTACGACTGTTTTGCACAATTGAAATGTTGATATATTTTAATATTTTTATATTATGTTTAGTTTAAGTTTAATATTTTAATATTAAACTTCAACTAAACATTTAATATTATATTAAACAATTTTTTATAGTTCTAATATTAAATACATTTTATTAAATTATTTATATTTGTTTATTAACCCGGCGTTAGTCCTGCTATGGTCTAAATGACCGCACTTTTAACATTTTTAATAAAACATTTATGTTTTATATTTTAATCATTGATACTCGGTATACCTTTCAATAATGTTATTAAAAATGATATAATATTCCAAGTATATTTAATTTCGTATACATAGAATAACATGTAAAAAGAATACAGTAATTTTGACTATAGCGCGACTAACGCCGAGTTAAATATAATAGTTATAATTATAATTCACTTATATATTATAATTTAAATGATTAAAAAATAGGATACTTGTGCAGTATGCTATCTACCATAAAATGCTACCAACCAAAAAACTTTAAGTAAACTTAATACTTATTCTAGTAAACTTAACTATATTTTATTAATAAAATGTATCAAATTCAAACTTACATTAGGTGTTGCTAATAAATGATCATCATCATTGTTAAGCATTTTTTAATATTAATTTACATCAACTTTATTTTTGCATCATCTCAGAAAATTTCTGAGAAATCAAGTTTCTTATTAACGAACCACCACCATTTTTTGTTAAATAATAATCAATATCATCAGTATCACTTGATACATCATTATCTATATGTGTAATTATATCTCCATTCCTCTATCAAAAATTATCCCTTAACAATCTTAATATATTAAGTATTGAATGAAAAACATTTTTTTCTAATTATTTCTTAGTCACAAATATTATTTGGGGATATAATTTTTTTAGAACTAAGGCTTTTAGTTTTATAAATGCATTTATTTTGTTTTTAATTGATAAAATATTATTTTATTTTAAATGTACTAGATGATTTAATGTTAAAAATTTTCCAATTTCAATACATAACAAGTGATTTTTGTTATAAAAATCATCTCATAAACACCATGAAATCAAGTTATTATATTAATGCTAATTTAAGAACTAGAGTTATAAACAATTTTCACAGTGTAAAATATGACACCAAAAATTTTGTGCCTTAATTAGATCACTGGTAACTAATAATTATCATGGTTTAAAAATATATGCAGTTTTAAAGTATTTGAGAAAAAATTAATAATATATTATTTTTATTTTAGGATGTTGAAAGACGTTTATTAATACCACCAATGTCATGTACGGCGCTCAAGGAAAAAAATAATAGCACTGTAACTGGATATGAAAATTATTATCTGACAGAAGGCAATACGAAATTATATCCAGTAAAGGACTTTGATTTTATTGGCAAACATGTTATTTGTCAAAAATGTTATCAAAGATTTGCATCTAAATTTTCATTTAAAGCTCATATTGGTACTGATGTTTGTGTTAAATCATACAATGGACCAAATCTAGTGTATGTAAAATTCAAAAACAAATTTGGTAGACAAGGGCGTAAAAAATATACAACCGAACCTTTGAAAGATTTCCACCATGATATTAAAAAGAATTTATTGAATCCTGAAATGTTAAATACTTTACAAACACGTAAGAATTGTTACTCAGACGTAATACATCAGCGTAATAAAGTTAAAGAAAAATCAGTTACTAATAATGAACCCCGTGTGAAAAAACCAAGGGGAAGGCCTAGGAAGAATGTTGAGGCTGAGCCAAACAAGCAAAACCAACCAAAACAATTAAATTCAACGACAGTTAATACTAATAGTAGCGAGGAGTTTGAATTTAAAAAACCATTGCCTGTTAGCGGTAGAGTTGTCGATGCTTATAATAATAATGTCGAAAATGAAAAGCAAGAATTCTTGTCGCCCAATATTAATTCGATAGCTGGAAAGTTTTGGAACATTTTTAATGAGGTTTGGAAAAAAAATGAAATGGAATTAAAACAAGAATACTCTGAACATTACTTGAAAAAAGAAGAAGGAAAATTTGATACATCAGTTGTAGAAGACCTTCATCTTAACCTGGAAGGACTTAAAAATGAATTATTGAATCTTTTAAAACAGCTTGAAGATTTTCATGTATCGTATAATTATAAAAATGATATTGAATTGATGCTGTCAAAACTTGATGAAAAACTTAATGAATTAAAACCAACTGAACTGAAAAAAACTTATATGCATAGTGACCCAACTACAGGTAAAGGAAAAGAAAATATTCATCGCTCAATCAAAAAGAATGAGAAGGATTTTGGTAGTGATGAAAAATGTAGTGGTAAGAAGTTAAACGGTAACATAAATGATAACATGATGGATGTAGAAGATTCAAAAACTCAGGATATAATTAAAAAAAAATTAGAAACAGAGGCTGCGATTAAAAATTATACCAATTCAGTTCCAAGCCATTTAAATAATGTTAGTTTAAATAATATTTATAATCCTATTATGGAATGTAAAATTTGCGTAAAACGTTTTGGATCACTTATTGAATGGAAAATGCATTGTGCTGAACATGTCGGAATATCTGATAAAAAATGTATGTGTAAGATTTGTGGTTTCAAGTTTAGAATGTATAGAGACTGTTTGAAACATATGAATACTCATTGTATAACAAGAGCTAAAAATAATGAAAAAAGATTCAAATGTAAGAAATGTAACAAACAGTATAATTTCCTCGCGCTTTATTATGGTCACATCAGAACACATGTGTAAGAATCGTAATAAGTTTTTCTTTTAATTTCATTTATTGTAAATTTACTTTTTTAAACATAATATTATTTTTAAACTTTTGAATACTTACCAAGTTTGAGCTGTTTTATTTTTGTACATTATGGTTTGATTGAATTAGACATAAATTTGAAATTTATGAAATAATTTGTCAATTTTATATACTTAAAATATTTTTAGAAAACATTATTTTTTATGTGTATTAATTTTTTTCATTTTTAAACCATTCTAGTTAAAAAAAGAATAAAACTAAAATGTATCGAACTTTAATTTAATACTGATATTTGTTAATTCCCGTACAAGGATATTAACAAATTAAAATAATTTATCAGTTAAAATACATATATATGATATAATAAAATTAATGAATTATAATTTATTGTTTATTGTATTATAATTTCTAAAAAAAATCTGAATTAAATTAATGTTTAACTCACAAGTATACAATTGGTTTTCTATTTTAATTGATAAAGTTATGTGTTGTAAATTGATTTAAATTAAGAATATTGAAGAACAAAATTATAAAAATAAAAATATTAGTTTATGATCATGTATAGAAATTATACCTAAATTCTGTAAAATATGACAAAAAGTATTTCAATTGTTCTTAGAGAGGTGGTTGAAGATTTTAAAATTTACAGTCAAAATAATTGTAACTGAAAACTGAAAGTAATTCTAACAATTTTTAAAAAACTTAATTTCTTGGCTGTAAAGTAATTGATATAATGTAAACTCTGGTTCTGTACTTCAGTATATACTATTATCAGATGGAGCCTTTAAGCTACTTAAAATAGTAATTGATCATTTGCTGTAATTAATTAAATGTGGTCAAAATATTTTTAAAAAACTTCATAGTATAATTTCAACTAAAATTAATAAATGAAAAATTATTTGTTAAAACTAAAAAGCACTTACACAATTATAAGCTAGATATATAATTACTAAATTTATGTGATTATTGTAAACTTAATATCAATTTCTATAACATAGTAATGAATATAAAAAAAAAAAAAATTTACAACTACCATTTTGTAAAATGTACAAGTCAATCAAGTACCTATGTTAAATCAACAACAACTCATAATTTTATTCTCTGGAACTACCCAATTTGTCTGTACTTCTTTTTGTTTGTTTGTCTTGATATTTTATATTGTTTAAATTTATGCAAATTTCTGCATAGTTGTAAAGGTATTCCAGAATTGAAAATAGCACATTGGTTTATTGTTGTTTGAAAAAAAATTTTAAATTTAAGTTGCGGCCCTACATCATTTCACATCAAATACCTAGCTTAACATGATAAAGAACGGTGAAAGAGGAAAATCTATACGTGGTCCATTAAAAAAAAAAAAAAAAATTGTGGCAGACATACATGACTCTATCATTACTCTGTTATCTTAGAAAACCAAAAGTAGAACACTCATTAGACATTGCATTTAGGTGAACTTTGTTTCACAGACATGTGTTGAACAGATCACACTTGTGAACGAACCGATAAGGATCGCAAAAATATAATAAGTCGTTTCTTCGGTTTGCACTGTTAGCGAACAATAGGTATACCCGAAGTTCGATGAATATACCTATCGGACGCTTTTACCCTTACACGGATCAGCGGCATAGCCAGGATTTTTTTTCAAGACTTGAGTAACGACTTTTATGGATCATTAAAATAATTTTTAAATTTTCTTAATATTTCGGAGGGGCTGCAGCCCCACCCCTGGCTACGCCACTGACGCGGAAGGATAATTCTAATATCCCGTAGCCGTGATTTTTTTTTTTGTAGAATTTATCATTTATTATCAGCTGAATCGTATTGCGCCGAATAACCGAACAACATATTTCTTGTTATATTAATAGATAAGCATTGTTGTCGGTCGGGTGCACGGTTAACGATATACTTAAATAAAGTCTTAAATCGTGGTAGAGTGGAAATAACCAAACTATTCATTCAGGGTCGTCGGAGTCAACAACTCGGCGTTACACCGCCGAACGGTATCGCGGAGTTAACTCCGATAAGCCGAACGACGTTGGGTTAAGGCATAGAGTAATATTACTTATATATTACTCTATGGATTAAGGTGGGATCACACGGCGCGTCGCGAGGAATGTGGAGTGGTACAGCGCCGTCCGATCGGTACTGCGCGGCAAGGTTTGTATAAACGTTGCTTTCCCGACAACAACTGTCGGTCTTTGTGTCGCGCGTCGGTATTGATTGTTCGTCATCAATGTATTTATTTGTCATTTTTCATGCTTCGAAGTTGAACTAAATTTATAGTATTTGAATTTTGGATATGCTTTTCATAGTTCATACCTACTTTTTTAGTATATCAACAATCAAAACATTGATCAGTTTGACAGCTTATACAATCAAGAACGAGACGCGCCATGCGCCGTGCGTGATCCCACCTTTACCGTTGAGTTGACTGTAGTTGAGTTCTCGATCCACGGTTATAGACAATTATACGGATAATTATTATCTATAGTCGTGTCCCGAACACACCACAACGGTAACATTCAGTACGCGTCGTTTTTATTATCAGCTGTACTTATCACGATAAGACCACGGAATAGATTACCGTGTTTACCGGTTTGAACTGCAATGAAACAATTCTGAAGAGCCCCAACGAGTTATTGTTCGCCCAAGGGCCCTGTCATTCCAACTCACGGGAGGGAGGGGGGAAATCGCTCAATTTAAAGAAGCCCTTACAGTAAAGTGGTACATAACTATTGCGTTACACCAGTCGCCGTACGGAACGCGATCCGTCGTGGCGGCACGATTCAGATCCCGACGACATGACGTCGTACGAAATTCCGCTCGGGCGGCTTCGACATAGGCGAATGAAAATGAGAAACGAACAGAAAATGCGACGAAAATCATGTTTTTGTGCAATGCGAAATGTTTATGCCGTGTAATTCCTCGGAACACTTTCGTGACATGCAAAAATATCGAAAAGATCGATCTTCTCGTGTTTAATGCACGCGCCCGCGTTCGTAACTTCTTTTAATTTTTAAGCGCGAGTGATAACTTGACATGTTACGATGCACGACAATAGTAAAAAAAAACAAAACACAGATTATAACGTGAAAACAAAAGCCGACGGGATAACAGAACGTAGGAACTGTGTTAAACTCGGTTTGACGAAAATAAAATTCTATAGACCTATCCGAGCAGTGGAATATATAGGGGGGTGCCTAGTGAGCTACAGTCTCCCCTGAAATGTTTCAAAAAACTTAAAAATTATTTTAAATGTTTGTTATATTTTAATGGTGCTTTATGCTTATTTAGAAATAATTTTATAAAAAAAAAAAAAAAAATAGAAAAATGATTTTAACCTGATTACATTTATTTCAATAGTTGAGACAATTTTCATTGCCTTTGTCGAATAGTTTTGGGACAGTCTGTAAATGAAATGTAGATAAGTACCTACTGTGTCTTGTTAGTAATTCTTAGATAGCAGTGGCAATTTAACTCTTTCCATAGTAGCCCCCCCCCCCCCCCGAAAATATTTTCTATATACGTCATTGGATCCGTATGTCATCATCAAGTCGCTGACCACTGCGACATACACCGTTTTATGTGCCCGAGCCGAAAAACAAAAAAAAATCAATCATTGCACCTATTTTACAGATTTTCGGCCCTATAGGGCTCGGTTGTTGGTGAACTCACAGACCTAGATACAAGTTTGATTCATGTCCTACAGAATCGAATAATACAATTTATATTTTCCATATTTTATGGTTTTATATTTTAAACACACATTTGAGTTTTTAAGTATATAAACGCATATTTCAGTTAATTTTCGAAATTTTTTAAAAATAATCGAGTTTAACGGGTATATAAATGATAAATTATAGATCCACGTATAATTGTGTTTGTCTCAAATATTTTTATATAGAAGTTTAATCAAATTAAAATAAAACCATTGTATAACCAGTGCAACACTCGTATTGTAAATCAGTAAATAATATTAAAAAAATAACAACTAATGCAAATTAAATACCTATTTATAAATTATAATACTAAAGATAAAATAAATGTTGGTGTTTTTTGTGCATATTTCGAACGCGTATTTGGTAATTTTTTCGGAACATAAATGCATACATGTTACAGTAATTTTAAGTAATAAAATATTAATCTATGCATTTTCAATCGGTAAATAATTTTTAAATCTTCAGGATAATTTTCTCGACGATAATGACAAATAACCAAAACGTCTTCGATATTCTTTTACCGCGATCTTAATAAAGTTATTACTATGTTAATATAATAAATCGGTGTTCAATTTATAAAATGTACTCACCACAATTCATAATTTTAGAAAATAAATGGCGACAAGTGATTACGGTTCTGATGTAGAACTACGGTTATATAACTTATAAGCGGGTCGTTGTAGTGGAACACTGGATCGAATAACGTTTTAATTCAAAGATATAAGAATATCGTTTTACACGAAAAACGATTCCAAGCAGAGACGGGTTCGTCAGCGTAGGATATTTTATATTATATTTAGTATGTAAAAAAAAAAGGGAGGACAAATTTCGTTTTGAAGTTATTAATGAAAAACCTCGGGCGAGCGTAGCGGCAAGCATATATGCGAGTGACCTGGCCAGGTATTACCTAATCTCAACATACCGCACGCATTATTTTAATTTAAACAAAATCATATTTTTATCCACTCTGTTGCATAATTGAGATAGTTTTGCGTACCTAACAAGTCGAGGGATATTTTCGATTTGCGGAGCTGAGCAACGAGTGCTGAAACACGCGTGTAACCACATGCATCGTTTGCAAAAAAATTGTAATTTCATACTCATGTTATAAGACAATTTTTAGTGCATTATACTTAAAAATGCTTCGCATGTAGGTGGAACCGGGTCAATTGTTAAAATCGATGAATCAAAATTCGAAAATACCACAGAAAACGATTTATCGGAAACTTTACATCGATCGCTTCAAAACGAGATTTCACCAGTCTTTTTTTTTTACATTTCTATAAAGTACCTACCCTAAAACACACATTTCGGAGAGAAAAAAAATTAAAAATCGATAGGTTGCTAAACTAGAAATGTTCCG